ATTCCTTATAGTGATAGGTTATTACTTTACCACAGTCCTAGTTCTTTGAGGCATCTCCATACTGATTTCCACAGTGCTTGCACCAGTCTACACTCCCACCAGCAGTGGAGCAGGGTTCCTCTTTCCCCACAGCCCCACCAGCGTTTGTTATTGGTTGATTTCATGATAGCAGCCATTCTTTCTGGAGTGAGGTGGAATCTCAGTGTTGAAAAAAGGATTTCTTTAAGGGATTAAGGGACTGGCTGGCCAAAGCATGGTGTGAAACTGAACAGGGAATCTCACATGAGTTACTGTATGATATAAGCATTCTTTGGAACCTTTGCTGTTTGGTTTTTCACTTCACCACATCTGCATGTGTGTATCTAAATGGTTGCACCATCTCAAATCAGTTTCTCTAAAGAACCTATTTTAACTATCCTCTCTCAAGTTTAAACTGAACTCAACTTAAAAGTGAGTACACAGACATTATATAACATCTCCTTCAGAAATCTTATGATATGTAGGAATAATCTCAGATTGCAAATGCTTTAGTTCTTTCACTTGAGTTGTTTTTCTTGAAAACATAAAAGAAGCAGGTCATCTGGCCAATGGAATCTATTTTTAGGAACTGCAGATCTACCTGGTAGTAGGAAAACTATAGACGAACAGAAAGGTAATCATTATATCTTAATTAAGAATTTTCAAGTGTTTTGAATCTTAAAATGTGAACTCTGGACAGAGGTCACTACTTCCGCCTGAAGCCTCTATTGATTTTTACCTCTTTGAACAATATGTGGTTAGAAACTATATTTATGATTTAATTAATGATCTTTTGAAATCTTAACTTGCATAATCATTAATACGTGTATTATACTTTGTGTTAATTTCAGAACAAGCTAAATACTATATTAGCAAATTGTAATTAAATGCTCAATGTACATAAAGTAGTTCTCTCTTTAAAAGAGGAAACTACCATGGTCAGCTATATCAGGGCAGAGACCAATTGTTAGTAAGCATAGCAATGAATCAGGAGGCGATGATCTTTTACCTTGTCCATTGACCATTTGTCATGAGAATGCTCTGCATATTTGTTAATGAAGTATTCCAACTTCTCAGGAATTGTAATACTACAAGAAAAATAGAGAAAAGAAAGCTTGATTTTCACAGAACTCACAGGAAATCACATGAAAATTTTACCCACAGCTTATGAATGCTTAGATTCCATTCAATCCATGACTATTAGAAAAGTTTTAACAAAGTATTACTTTTTCATATTTTCAGAACAATATACAAAAGTCAAGCAGATAGTGTTCTGCCTATTCATCTTAAATTGATATCTTTTATTATATATTAATATGACAAATTAAATATAATAAAAATATCTATGATATTAAAATATATTCAAAGATGAGAACAGATTACACAAAAGAGAAAAGCCAACCCTAAATGAAGTGATGGTTAGATAGAAGATTAAAGACAAACTTTTCTACCATACTCTTTTCTGGAAGCTTTTCTGCCTTTTTGACTTGTCTTTTATACAACAGCTGTAAATGCATAAAATATTTCTGAAATCAAACCTGTTATATTTTTTAATTAATTCCATACAATTAATGTATTAGTGGTCTATAGATAATATTAGAAATGCCACTAATAGAAAAAATAATCAACTAATGATTTATGGCTTTGATAACATTTATTCTTGATTCTTTTCTTGTTTAAATAACTATTTTATCTCTTGAACAAGCATCAAGCACATGCAACTGATGACCAAGTCTGATGATAAATATAAGATTAGCAATATTTAATACATCAATAAATGGAAAATTGAATGGCTATAATTCCATTCATTAATGTATATAATTTACTAAAGCAATTAACTTTGAAAATAGAATTCTAGATAAAACTTAGTATAATGAAATCATTTTCTGTTCTTTTTTTCCAGAAAAATTATCAATTAGTTTTTGGCATAACAGACCTAAGAAAGAATATATAAAAATCACAATTGTATAGAAATTATTGATATCACCAGGTAATTCTGTATCTGTTGAGAAGTCCCCAAAGGGGCAAGGCTGGCTAAATTACTGTACATGCCCAACACTTATAAGTAAACTGGGATTAATTAATCAATACTAAAACCATGACATTATTCTCATATCTTTTTAAAATTCCGGATTATACTGTATGTTAGCAAACCACACACTTACCCATGTAGGAATGTGAACCTGTGATGTTTTGGTTATTTACTTTGGAAGAGATAACAAAGGATCAATCACATAAGCCAAATATTGGGGGGCAGAATCTTTTCTCACAGGACTGTTATCAATACCAAACATGCAAATTTAAAGCATTACCAGACCTATGGCATATCTTGGGATAAAATTTTAATCTGGTTATGGAGGCTCAACCAGCTGGGGCCTGCCTAGAAGCCTCAAAGTTGAACTTGCAAGCAAATTCAAGGCAGTACATAATAACTACCATGTAATGACCTTGCTAGCTAGAATTGATCTTGCTGAATCACCATGAAATCAATAAGATAATGTGGCATGAGGAGTCAGCTTTCCTTGCACATGGGGAATGATGGTCCTACTTAAAGACAGTAGCAATAACAAAATGTTGAGATTTCCAACACCTAAAGTACTCAAACACCTTATTTGTAGAACAATTTATACAACCAAGTATGTATAAGAAGTTTCATTTAACTGATGTTTTATTTCTGGTTGAGGTTGTCAAATTACATTCTAACTGCTCATTAAATTTTTCACAAAAACTTGTCATTAGATATCCCCTTCAATCTCACAACGTGCTTTATAATGCTAACCATCAGCCACTAAGCCTGGGCCTAGCTAAGATGTAGTAGAGCGTGAAAGGTTTTCCCCACACTTGCAGAGATTTGTCATACATGCTGGGGTCATCCTAAGTAAAAGATGCTACATAAAAGTTGTTCAGTTATTGATAAACGTTTTGGGTAAATTTTGAATTAAAAATATAGCTAATACACCTTCTTGATTCTCATTATTGTAGGTATTGCCAAATGGCTATATACAAAGAATCTTCATTATGTTTAGAGTGTCCCAGAAGGTATATCTTGTCTATATCTGATATCAGCATAAAGATTAGCATTATCATCATTTGATAAATTAAAGGGACTCCTATTAAAAGGATACCAATTCAAAAGGGGCATGTATTAGAGAAAGTTCACTTCAGTACCTTATTCAATTTCAGACTTCACACATCATTTACAATAAAAATCTGCTGCAATAGAAAGAGTCCATACTTTGAGGTATCAACAGGTTGTGGGTTAAAGTTCCCTTCAGAATCCATGGATGACTGTTTTTCCATCATACTGACATAATTTGACTCCATGTAGTCTGGGGGCAAAGCTCCCGCCACTGCACTCAGACAGGGTAGTGCCAGTTTGAAAAGTTCTTGTTCATATTTCTGGGAAGAAAAAGTAGACCAAGAAAATTTACTATGTGACTGGATAGCAAACGTTGTCAGCATGATTGCCACGGTTTGAGCAGACATTGTAGGGCATCTGAATTAACCTGGGCTCACTTAACTCCCTTAACTACTCTTTCTCGAGCAAATGGAACACATATTTTGAAATCCCAACAAATGTAAGAAAAGCAGGCTCGTTGTGGTTCTGCTTAAAATCTTCACATCTCAAGAGTGTATTTTCCCATATTTCAAATGAAGTAGACTTATGAAATGTCTTTACCACATGGACACAATTTCAGTCACTGAGGATTATATTCCTTATAGTGATAGGTTATTACTTTACCACATTATAATGACTACACATGAAAGAATATAGAAATGCTAACACTCCAAAGAGTGAAAAATTTTAACTCATCTACACTGTATTGCAAAAGTATGAAAAAATGAAACTCTGAACTAGAAAAGAAATTCTACAGGAAGTGTATATACTAAAAATTTCTGGGAAGAGGTATTTGGATATTAATACACAATTAGTTAAATGTGCAACTGTAGATTTTTTAAAAATCAAAAATAATTATCTTATTTTAAATTTTCAATTTAAAAATTAATGTAGTAAATGTCTCTAAAAATACCTACACAGTATCTTAAAATGACTCTCAGTTTACTAAAAGAAATTCAATAAGAAAAAGCATCAGGATGTAGCTACTAAATGTAATTATGGATAAACTTTCCCATGTTGTATATCAAACTTGTAATCAAACTCCAATCATCTGATAGTGGATATTAGAGTTCAGATATTGATCAATTTAAGTATCAGGCTACTCAATGTGTTCTTATTTTCTTTGTAATCATTACCTTGTGGTCATGTGAAAATAAATGAACTATTCCTCTTTATTATAAAGGTGGCAATTATAATGCCACATAGACAAAATAATTAAGTGGAGATCTTTAAATCTCCATAGCAACAAAACAGAGAATGCCAGTAGGCCATTGTAATATTCTAATTTTGTAAGACTTTATATTTCATATTCTTACATTTGATATCATTTCTTCAGATTAACGATGGCGTGGTAACTAGGAAGAGTTTGAGTCCAAAACAAACCTAAATGCATAGAAACTTAACTATGTACCTTATTTCCTGAAAAGGCTTTGCTATTTTAAATTCAGAAAGTGTTATAATCACAAGGAATTTGCTACCGTAATGATTATGAAAAATAAATATAAATTGCATTCTTGACATTTTATTGAGAAATGAGAAAAAAATAAAGCTGCTTAAGTCTTCATTAGTAAAGGCACTAATGTTTTTTAGTATTTCTAACTTATCAAGAACCTGTAACTTTTAATCATTTTATCAATACAAATAAAGCCACAAAACATTAAATTACCTTTTGAGACAGGGCATCAAAAATGCCCCAGAAGAGTTTTCTTGATAAATGAAGTTCTTCTTCAGAGGCAGCACCAAAGTTGCCCCACCCTCCTGGCAAGCAGTAGTATTTCCAGCATCTTTCATAGTGATTCGTCAGCAGCTGATGGAAAAGCAATTACAAAAGCATTGAGCTAAGCATCTTGACCATTTTCACTTCCCTTCCTATGACATTCTAATGCCATGTCCTGAAAAAGGTCAACTGAAGGAAAATTGCTCAACCCCATTTGAGTTCGATAGGAGAATACAATTACTTTGTATGCTAGGTCTTTAAAATTTAACACTGATCACAATACAAGGATTAATGTTCAATTTTACAAATAATTCTAACTGAATGACAAACTTTATGAGCTTTTGGATAGATCTGTGTTCTATGCTCATTATTATCATTTATTCAGTTATATGAATTGTCATCTCCTGGAAATTCATGCATAAAATGAAGAGATTTATATCAGGGTGACCTAAAAGGACAAAAAGCAACTGTATAAATGACTATTGTTGCTCCCTCTCTGCCTATTTTTAACTATCACAATTTATGACTTGCCTCAAAACTTCTATAAATAAATTCCCAAAACTACTGTCCATGGATCATTTCTGAATCTCCATTTCTTCTATGGTTATAGATGCAATTTTTTCAGCTGTCTGAGTTTTCAGCTATGTGAAAGATAAGGATATAATCTTTGAATTATTTAGTAGTTTTTTGGAAACTTTAACTCCTGATCTATATTTGCCAAATTTACAGAATGATCTGTATGAAAGAACTATAAAGATCTGAACTTTCTTTTCTATGTCTAAGGAGGAAAATAAACTTATAAAGATTATTGTTATTAAAGTTAGTTACATCTCTTAGTGTTGAAATATTACTTCTTGTTTACTCTTCTTTCAGTTACAAAACAGCATACACATATACACATCCAAATTAAGAATTTAAATAATGAACTAGTGAGGCTAATTTGCTTGGAAGAGCATAGAAAAATCTACTACATAAAAGAGTTAAGATAAAAATAAGAATAAAATATCTTAAGGATAAAGTAATAGTGTATTTTTTTTCAGGTATGTTTCAAAGCATTTCTTTTTTTTATTCATTAAGTTTATTAGTACATTTTAGGTATACAATATGGTGACATTCATCATTGGGAATTTATTTTACACCAGACCTACTATATATGAAAAAATTATAGAAATGAGATTTTTAGCAAGGACATAATTTCCTGTACCTGATTCATGAACTTATCTAAATTTATCAAACCAAACTAGACTGTCATAGAGAAAGTTTTTCATTTTTTTTTCAGTTTTCAGTACTACGAATTAAACCCAGGGACACCCTTCCACTTAGGCTACATTCCCAGCTTTTTAAATTTTTTTTTATTTTGAGACAGGATTTCACTAAGTTGTTCAGGCAGGACTCAAGGTTGTGATCCTCCTGACTCAACCTCCTTATGCTGGAACTACAGGTGGTGTGCCACTGTTCCAGGCTGAAAAAGGTTACTGATAGAGTGCTCTACTAAATAAAATGGCCCTGACAACCCCACATCCTAAAATGGCCCCTGCCTACAAGGAAAGAGTCACTCCAGAGAGAACAAAGACCTGCTTTTTCCCACCTTGCCCCCAGTTATAGCCAATCATTTGCCTCCACCACACTCCCTCAGCCCTTATAAACTTCACCCAGCCAACCCCTGGCTGCTGCTCTCGCCACTGTTTGAGACAGCCCAGCAGCTCTGTCCCTTAATAGATGCCTCACCTTGGGTGTTTGTGTTTTGGTTCACTTTATTTCTCTCAGTTATTTTGCCTAAATATCAAAGCATACTTTATATAACAGCTTATAAAATAGATTTATACACATCCCAAAAATCTTTTCTACAATACTATTACTAGGTGGTAATGGGGGGGGGGGGCGGAATACCTACTCTGTGTATTGCAGAATCGTCACTTGAAAAATATGTTTTTACTGTATAACCTATATGTACAGACCTCACTGTCCTGAGTTTAGATTTGGATATTAAATGATAGGAAAAAGGAGCTGGGGATTTAGCTCAGTGGTTCCGCCGCCTGCCTCGCAAGCACAAGGACCCAAGTTCAATCCCCGGTACTAAAAAAAAAAAAAAAATGATAGGAAAAATCTGGAAGTCAGTATGATAGAATGAGGCTTGCTTGTTCATGAATTGAATAGTAAAGCTGGACAAATAAAATGTCAGTGCCTTTTATATACTATGTGACAAACTGTAAGTATGTGTATGCAGAGGTTATCTTTGAGCTCTATGAAATGAAGTTTAGAACTTGTTCCATGATTACTATCTTAGAAAATGTTTTTAAAGCCTGCTCACTACCTCTTGAAGTTGCTAGTAAGATTGTATTCCAGGCCTACGATCAGGCTTTCCAGCCAAAGGATATCAGTTTATTTTTTTCCTCTTGATCCTTTTTTTATCCATTGACTTCTACGGGTATCAATCTTAGGAATTCTGTGATACTTTATTGCTTCCTTATTATAAGTTAATGTGCACATTTCTATAACTTATGTGGCCATTCCAATAACTGGGAGAAAATTCCTTGAATCAAAGATCAAACATGCTGTATCCAAGAGATGTACATGTAATAAGAGGCAACAAGATCAGAGAAAACAGCAAATAACTACAGACACTTCCTGTACTTACCTTAAGGGGCATCTTTGTGTGTTCATTCAATAATGGAACATCAAATACTAGCCTTCTGAGCAAATGCTGCATCATGGAGGGTCTCAGTTGGCTGTTGGAACAAAACCAGTTTCAATAAAGAAGAGAAACGCATCTAAAATAATTAGGTAATTCATTAGACTAAAATATGTAAGTCAATAACTTGCACCTATATCTCTCTTCAAATGGTGTTTATTAGGTGTTCTTAGCCCAAAGATTAGCCAATAGTTACAATCAGGGATCACAAAAAGATGTTTCAGTCAACAAAGGACTGCATATATGAGAGTGCTCCCATAAGATTACAATGGCTCTGAAAAATAATCCATAACCTAGCAATGTCATGGGGGGCGGGACATAATGTCAAGGCACAACACACTGTTCACATGTTTGTGCTGATGCTGGTGTAAACAAACCTACTATACTGTTAGTCATATGTAGCACAGACAATTATCTATAGTACATAATACATGACAATGAAAGGCTAAATACTGGCTTATGTATTTGATACATTATACTTTTTTACCTTTACTTTAGAGTATATCATACTTAAACAAAAACAGACAAAAAGATTGCTGTAAAATAGCATGCCATGTTACACTGCAGCAGCCTCATCCATCTCAAGTTTACTGAGTCTCTTGACTGCATTAAGAGGCCATGTGGAGTGACTGACCGGATGGACTGAGGTTTGTAGAAGTACATTCTATGATCTTGACACAACAACAGAATCCTCTAATAATGCATTTCCAAGGACATATCCTGGTCATTAAGTAATGCATGACTGTACTTCATCTTATACAGGATGTATTTCCCAGCTCTATCCCCAAATCTGAATGCCTTCTTATGCTCCTTTCATCCGGACCACCCCCAAATGCAGCCCCATCATTTCTGGAGATCACTCTCCATTAATTTCAGTAACTGCTTCTCCCCTCACTCCAGTGGATGATGGAAAGTAAGAAAGAATAGAGTATGCAGGATCAAGAGGGAGGAAAAAAGGGACTGAGATAGCTACATTGACAGAGGAGGAGAGAGAGAAAACTAATACACAGTGGACACCTCTGTGTCTGGTACAGCAAGTGGTTCCCTTTACTTGCCCTTTAGAAAAACTCTGGGACACAGGTATTTGATTCTATTTTACAGAATCTAAGTGCATGGAGGTTACAGAACGATTATGCTTTCTTACCCAGCCCAGTGCCATCTGTTCACCCCATACACTCCACCATACTCCCTTCACCAAGGACTGCAAGGCCACAGGCCTTCCTTCCAGAGTTTCTGTCCAATCAGAAAGCAGCCACTGCTCTGGCTAGGAACTGTCCTCTTCACCCTCAAAGCTTTACTAGGTGAAGATATAGTTCACCTTTCAGAGTGAGATAGTTGAACACTTGTACCCAAAGGAAGAAGTTTTCCAGGCTAGAGGAGATAGTCAGCCTTCATCCTTGCTGTACAGAAGTAATCTTTTAATATTATACTATAGATTTTTTAATGTTTAATGAGGCCCTTTTTTCTTTCCTCTTCTGGAGAAAGAATGAAAAAACTATCACACAAGAGTCAGAAGGGGGAGAATCTATTAATATTACAATGTAGTGGTCAAGAAAGCCTAACACAATCATCTCCCCTGACATCTAGAACAATATTCTAAGACTAGCCCAAAGCTATGTCCAATGGCTAGACATCCCAACATTCCAGGGTTCAAGGGCATTCTGAGAAGACTAATACCCCAGGATAGAGAACTTCCTAAAATGAATTATTGTTATAGAGATTACTTTCAAAATTCCTAACAACTCATTAAGATTCACATAGTAAGTTTTCTTCCTTAATGAGGAACAAAGCTGGGTAGAGTTACTTAGGGTTGTTACTTACCCACAGATAGAGAGTAAACACACTTCTATGGAATCCCGTTGAGCTTTGGTGAGTGAGCAGCCCTTAGAAAGTCTGTACACAGTATGAAGTAAGGAGTCAATGAGGGAGGCATGGTGCTCCGTGCCAGCAAAGAGAGGAGCACATCGCGTCAACAAAGGCAGGACAGCTGTGCAAAGGTACCGGTTGAGGGCCAAAGCCATGTCTGTAGCACTCAGAGCAGCCTGCACAGGATGAGATAGTACAAAGCTATGTGTGTTGGGCAAACTTTCCAAGGAAGCTCCATGTTGACACAAACCTTTACCATCTGGCAATGACATCCGGATGAAAACCAGAAATGTCCTCCTTAAGTGTATCTTTAAATGGGGGGTATGTGATTATTACCATCAAAAAGAGTGAACTACCCTTTGTTCTTAAGTAGACAAAATAAATGAAATGACATCTATCTTCTCAAAAAGCCCAAGAAGTCTAGGCTCTGTCATAAAATATCCGCATAGAACCATGTAAAAGAAAGTCACTAATGACCTTAAAGATGTGAGCATTTTCCTATGCCAGGGGACGAAAAAGGAGCTTATTTTCAGAATAAATCGTGTATTCATAAATTCTTTCTGAATTCTATTTATTAATAGCATTTATATTTCTGCTCATGTCCATCAGTGTCAATAATCAAAGGTTGATTTTATCACTATATTATCATCTTTACTATCCAGATTCAGAATTCTGTGTGGACATTCACAAAAGAAAAAGAAAATTTTTCTTTCATTTTTATGATTCCACAGTCATGGATTTTATCAAACAGCTATTATCAACTCAAGATGTAATATCCTCCGATATCAAAAGGGCCCACTTGATAATCAAATAAAAGCAAGTATTACTATAATAACATTTGGAACTTTGGCTTATTCCACCATGTTGTAGATAGCAGCACGTTTACCCTGATAATGGCAGATACACATGGCTTCTTTCCAGCTGGTTCATTTTAAATAAAATTATCAATGAAATGGTTTCCTGTTCTACTCTCAAGCAAGTATGTGGGCCTCTTGATATACAGGACAAACTTTAATCAATCTGTACTTTAACAAATGAAGACACCAGGGTATGACTGTATATGGCATGACTCAATAGAGTCCATTAGATTACCTAAATACTAACTGCTTTCACAGAGAAGCACAACTGTTTAGGCCAACTCAGAGATTAATTTAGGGTTAACAGGAATCACTCTGACTTCCCAAATCAGGGTTGTATGAACCTTCTAGGGGCTCCCATAGCACTAATCAGAATTTCTTTCATACTCATGAGGTTGTCAATTTCACTATTTAATGAATTCCTTAAGGACACACTTTGTGTTTACACACACTGATTGTCTAAAAAACAAGATACGCACACCACAAATGTTTGTTGAAAATAGATGAGTGAATGGATGTCAGAAGTCACAGACTATACAGAGTCAAAGGTGGAGGAAATTTATTGGCCAAAATCATACCGTATCTAGAGAAGCAGCAGCTCGGAGATCTGGCAGAAAGCCAACCTCGAGAAGATGGAGGAGGAAATCTTGTACCTCAATTCCATAGACCCTGTCAAGGAACAAAACCATGGCTGCCTTGTGATCTGGGCAAAACCCCGCAGACATGTCAGGTTCCACCACATTCCCATCTAAAAAAGAGAAGGTGACATGTTGGCATCAATGGCCGGGCCATATGTGGATAGATTACACATGGCTTCTTTCCAGCTGGCTCATTTTAAATAAAGTTATCAATGAAATGGTTTCTTGTTCTACCCTTCAGCACGTGCAACATTAGCTGAGAAAACACACCAATACAATTTAAACCCAAGGTCATTTAGATGTCATTTGGGCATCTACTTGTTAACTGAACCCTTGATAAGGACATAGTGTTATATGTATTAGACAATGAGAAGCAAACAAAATACCAAATCTACTTTGTTAAACAAGGACAGAATACTACAGAGGGTTACATCACTTGGGGATTTCTACTTTTGTTGTCAACATCTCCTCAAATACATGGGAGGTGATGAAACTGAGAAGTGTCTACTTAAAAACTTCAGGGAGTTTTGAGCTGGACACACATGGGCCAGTGCACTGCCTTCACCTGGGACACCTATAGCAGCTTTGTTCTTCATCCACCCAAAATTAGAGCCTCAGACAGGTTAATCAGACAAATGTCCCTGGACCAACAACTTCCAATTATGGGCTTGCTTCTAAATCTTCCCTCTTTTGTTATTACACTGGGGCACACTCTGGGTCTAGAGTGAACCTGATTAAAATGGTTAGAAGACCTTAGCTAATATGAAAAGGGAAATAAATCTTTAGAGGTAAACTTTACACACTAAATACAGAACCTATAATAACCAAAACTGCTGCTACTTGATGATGTTTACAGAGCCAACTGATTTGTCATTGAAACAGATGAAGAAGGGACATTGGTATTTTAAGTTTTGCAGGTGAATGCACTGACACAGCAAAATAAAAACATACAGGTTTCTGTTTGCATTGCCCACAAAAGCAAGCAGTAAAAGAAAAAAACAATTTACCAATGACCAATGCATTTTAAAGATTAACTCAGTGTGATAGTTTACAAAAGGAGAAAAAAAATTTTTTTAACTTTTGATGTAAACAACGCAATATATTTATGAAAAAATCATAAAATAATATGACTAGAGGGCAACTAAGTAGAACGGGGAAGAAAGCAACTTGAAAATTCATGGAGGCTGCTGATGTTGCACATGTGGAGGAAACAAAGGGGGCCCATTCTGAAAGGGACACTGGGCCCACTAAGTTGGTGATTCCTCCTTGCCACTAGTGTTATTATACAAGTTAGCACTTCTTCATTACCTAACCTTCATATCACTGATAATACTCTTACATTACCTGATAGTATCGGTTTTGTGGCTCACAACATAAGGGAAGGAAAAGGATCTTTTACATAAATGAAAGAGAAATGAAAAGAAGGCAGGTGAGGATGACTGGGAGGTACCAGGACATAAACTGCTACAAGTGGAATAGACAAAGCAAAGGGACAATTTTCAAGTCCCAGTTTTCACTAAAATTGTAATGAGTAGTAGATTATGATGGGAAGTCTGGTTCACAAGGTAAGCACACAGGAGACTTTACTTTCTTGTTATGCATAGACAAGCAAGGTCAGCCACTTGCAGGCCACAATGAGCCCCTCACTCTAGACTTGGGATGTTCACAGCTGCCTTCTGGGTGCTAACATATCAAAGACAAAGATCATAAAATGTGCTTTCTAATTATGTTCTTTTCTAAAATTAGAAGTTTAGATACAAATGATTTATGTATAAATCTCCAGGGAAGTAGTAGAACAAATGAACACTGAAATATGAACAAGGAAAAACCAAGTACAATTTGGGATCTAACAAATCCTTAGGTTGTCTCCGACAACTCCTGAAATATTTAAAAAATTTTCTCCTGTCTTGAAAGGAACTCTTAACACACAGGTAATGTTTAAATCTTGAAGTCAAAAGCTACAGTCATTACTTCAAAAAGCATTTTAAGAAAGTGACAATGAAAACCATCAAAGAGCATGAATGAAGGGACAGAGGAGAATAGGGGCCATCACGGAACAGGAACAGGTGGAAACAGTGGAGATGCCTATTCTTTTCTGAACACTGTCTAGGATATTATGTAAAAAATAATAAAAATTTCATCAAAATACAGTTTTTTTAAAACAATGAGAATGGAAAAATCCTGTATGAAATAATATATTCCATAATTTCTTTTTTTAAAGAAACTTAGGCAGCATAGCCACTGTGTGAAGAGGGGGTTGGTAAGTACTGATAGTGTTATTTAGAACACCATGCCTTCCCACTTCCTATCAACTGTTACAGAATGGAAGGTGGCCTTACCTTTGGCTATCGTTGGCATCTGGAAAGCGATGCTAATGACTCCCACCAAATCTCCCAATGGAATTAGGGATCTCAAAATAGACCTGATTCTGATGGCTTCCCCCTTAGCAGCATGAATCAACTAAATAGGGAGAAAGATAAAGGAACATTAGAATAAGTTTGTGAAATCAATGTTATAATTCTGTCTAGGAAATCTGGAATAAGGGAATACAAGTATAAAATAAGTTTCTGTTAGGACTACATACAAAGTTAGACCCCTTTCACAAACCGTTTCAGGCTTAGAGATAGATATCTACTTGTCTGTAGTGCTCAGGACTTCAGCATGCATCAAATCATATGTACTACAATCTGGGTTCACCCACTAAAATCATAATTTTTAATTCTCTTTGGGGTATTAAAACATCCTAAAAATCTGGTAAGTCTACAATTGCCCACTACAAAACAATAACATGAAGGAATAATCATTATTTGTAGGTGCAGAACATGTACTAATGTTTATGATTGACTTGGCAATTTTTCTTGCCTTCTGATAAGAAATTAATTGTATATCTGTCCTTATTCCACCCTATTTTCCCCAGGGTAGATTTACAATATTAGAGGAATGGTGAACATGAATCCTAATAGTCTCTTAATGACTGCCACTGTGATCATTAATACTGATAGGTCAACTTGATTGGATTATGAAATGCCTACCAAAGTATTTTTTTTCATTTAGTTTACTGCTACATTTTAGGTATATGATACAGTTACATTCATTATTAGGATCTTGTACCTTTATATGATGCATCTTGGTTCTTATTTTTTCCCCATTCCCCTGCCCTCCCTTCACCCTCTCCACCCTTCCCTATTTACAAAGACTTTGTTTCCATTTTTTTCTTTTCTGGTATTTTTTATTTTCCCTTCTTTTCTTTCCCCTACTCGTTTAGACCTTTTTTTCCTATTTCACAGAATCAATTATACATTTTGATCCTTCCTACCAAATTACTGAAGCATACTTCTGGGTGTATCTGGATGTGTCTAGGTGGGTTAAGGAGGTATATCTGGTGCCTGACCCATTCTTCACTGGCATTCTTTCCCTGCTCTGTTTCCTGACTGTGATGAACTAAGCATCTTTGCTCAACTGTGACTTTCTACCATGATGTTCTTGCCTTGGAGGCAATTGACTATGAACTGAATCCTCTGAAACTATGAGCCAAATTAAACCTCTCTCATTTTAAGTTGTGGGTGTCAGGTATTGTGTCTCAGTGACAGGAAAGCTGACTAATACAATGACAGTAGATCAGGATACAGTAAAAAAAATCTCAGAGAGCTTCTTATAGCCAGGGCAGGAAACTCACAGACCTCCTAACAAATAAGAAGCCTCAGCTAGTAATTGCAAAGACGAATTAACTTCAGAAGTGTCGAGGCAATTCCTTTCTTGATTCACTTACTAGTGCTTGCCCCTTCTCAAAAAAAAGATATGACAACAGAACAAAAAGCTTCTACTTCTCAGCATAAATACTTTTTTAGTTCCTCTGATCTTTTCACAGATGAGAAAAAGAAATATCATCAACATCAAGGTTGTTTGTCTGCAATCACTTCTGGCATATATATTTTTCATAATCTGTTCCTATTTACTAAAATTGAAAGTCTCATTAGCAGAAATGACTAAGTTTTTACAAAAATCAGGCTCCAGGTTTTCTAACATTCTAACATTTTTCTATCTCATGATTTTTTTCTTCTCATAATGGAAATGCATATCTAGCAAGTTTTGACCTAGGAATGTAAAGGAAAGATACCCCAAACAAAAGCAAACCAAACACAGACACCAAGGGTGGGAGAAAGGCCCTCTGGCTTCGTATCTATCTCAGTTTAAAAGTGACTGGTAAGCAGGGCACAGAGGCACGTGCCTGTAATCCCAGCATTCTGGGAGGTTAAGGCAGGAGGTTTGAAAGTTCAAGCACTGCTCTGATGATTTAGGGAGATCCTGTCTCAAAATAAAAAATAAAGAAAAGAGCTTGGGATATAGCTCGTTACAAAGCCCCTGGGTTCAATCTTCTCTACCACAAACAAATAAACAAAGCACAGCTCCTCACCCTCCCACCAAGGACTGGTTAATGTGTTTCAAACTCTGAGGTTGTTTCCCATCTATAGGTCATGAAAATAGTTACTGGCTAGCATTTTAAAAACACGAACAATGGAATAAGCTAGAACTGATTAGAATAAAATAAACCACCAAATACCAGGATGTATTACAGAGTAAAAGTATTATTCCATCACTCTCATTTCAATGTGGCCAAAAAGTTTTAGAAAACACTAATCTCTATGGTCTTTTCCACTGTCTGCCTACCCACCCATCTACTTTCTCCTAATCCAGGGCAAGCACATTGAGCTAAAAATTGTACAAAAGAAATCAACTTCATGGGAGCAGCCATCTTCTTCAAAATAGGAAACTGTACAGGAAAAATATGTCCTTTTCTTCTCAAAATGTAGGTAGACCTAAGTTTTACAGATATATAAGTAACTAAATATTCTATTAATACCCAATATTGAAATCTTACTCATTTTTATAGCCAATTTCCAACTAAACAAAAATTTGTTCAGCAATTAGTCTGCAGCTCTTTCTTTTAATGGAGCATGAATATTACTGGTTCTGAATGCTGTAGTAATCCTCACCAACCATGGGTGTCATAACAGACAGATAAATCCAGATAGATGATCCTGAGCCCCCGGGGACTCACATGCATCTCAGGAGCACAGCGTCCCAGGAGGTCAATCAAGGCCGCATAAAAGGTCATGATCGCATTCCCCATATGGATGGTGTCATCTTCCTCTTCCTCAGTATCACTTTTGTAGATTTTCCAAAAGAAACAGAAAGCAGAGTAACAGTTCATGCTAATCATACATATCTCAGGAGAAAGGGACCTCTAAGGTGATGTGTTATTCTTCTTCTGATACTTTTCACGTATCTTTTCAATTTACAGGATGACATTCTTCAAGGAAAATAATGAGTTAAGGATCTGAGTTAAGGATTCCTTACACATTCTTGGGAATTTTGGTATTAAGGTTCCCTCACAGAGAGGTAAAGGTGAAAGAGGAATTGATAATTCTACGGACTCTTCTCATTTATAATAGTAGAACATTAACATGGAAATTGATGGAAAGACTAGTTTGTAAGTTTAAAACTACTATTACAAACAGCATATGTGTAGAGAAAAAGTGATGAAGATGTCATGTAATACACAGTGCTTTGTCCAGATTAAGTAATATTTAGAAATGTTATTCCATTTATTCGACTACCTCTGTCCCAACTACCTTCCCCTCACCTACTTTCCACAAATAAACAATCATCTGTCTTCCACTCTTCAGGAGAAAAATGTAAGAATTCCATTGTCTTGCTAAGAAGAGACAATCTGGAGGCTCATGTCCTTCCTCCTTAGTCACCTGTCAGAGGCTGCTTCAGTTGGACTTGGCGTCTGTAGCATGGTAGCAAGACCTGGGCTGACAGTCTCAATCCTAGGCACACAAGGCTGGTCCTAGGGTCCTCATGTGTGCACTTACTACATGAGGCCTCTGGGTATGTTTCTTGCTCTGAGACAAACTAAGTTCCTTGTGGCTGACAAACATAACATTGTATGTATGCATGTGTGTGGTGTGTGGGTGTGGATGATCTGTTCTGTTCATGGAGTGCTCCTAGTCTGGAAATCTGGCTCTGGTATAGACAGAAAATCTATGTCTAATCTATATGTGGAAGAAGAAGGGTTCCAAGAGCTCTGTGTACTCTATTTCTTTGCCTGAAAGTTTGTCTTCCATAAGCTCTATGTTTTATCTTTACCAGAGGTGTCAGTGTTAGCATTGTGAATGCAGAACCCCTAGAAGGACATTCACCATTCACCTCCACAGACAAAAAAAAACATGCCTGGATTGAGGTTTGTTCAATCTGGAATTAAGTATTAACAACGTCTACTATGGAGAAATGGAAGATAATGTCCACTGCCCCTGTCTGTTTTCAATATCTTAACTGAGACTTCTACTCCTTAGAATGATACCTTCTTTCCTGGACTTTATCACTGTCCCAGTTTGGTCAAGTCCTGTTCTGCGTCTCTCTCTCTCTCTCTGATAACATTCTAGGAACTCAACTGAACTACTTTCCCATGGTCCCCTCATCCAACTTCAAAGGTTCACATCCCATCATGTGTAACCACTCACTTTGCCTGTTCCCCTCTGAACATCCACAAGATGCCTCCTACAACCTTAATTTTTCTCTACTAAATCCACACAATCTTCCTCAGCTTCCTGTTCGTTCAACCTATTCTAGAAGCAAAATCTGTCCACTCTTCCATGTACAAAACATTCTATTTTCAAAGGAAGAAGTCTTTAGTATCAGAAACTATACTGCAATTAGCAAAATGTCAAATATATTTTATAATCTTTAGTCAAATAGTGTAATTTACTCATGAGGGTGTGCACATTAGACCTACAGTGTTCTACTGGATCCACTAGTGGGTGAGGGGCCATCTCGGGATGGATCCTCAGCTATTTTTATGGCTTCTTCCATCGCTGCCAGGAGACCATTCCCACCTTCCCCTCTCAAAGCAGGACCGAAGCACTCAGGCCTCCGGATGAGCAATCTCACCACAACGTTCGCATTTTCTTCCACGCTCTCCCCTAAAGACAAAAGGGGAACCAAGACAAGTTTTGATTGTATGGAAATGTAAATAAATGTAAAATAATAAGCAGTTCTTATTTAAAGAACTAAATAAAACCCAAGAATATGCTAGTAAGGTCAAAATTTCACCCAAATTACTAGATTTATCTACACAAAGCAGTTTCTTTTCTTCACTTAGTATTTTCAAAGCAGAACAAAAGATGATGGAGCATAAATTATTCATTCTCCTTAACTTGTTTTGGAGAAAGTTGTCATTATCCTAATTATTAGAGCCCAAATTATAAAAATTTGTGAAAATTTAGGTATATAAAGATTTTAATTTAAATCATAAAAGAATAATCATATATTTATAATAATTATTACTATTTAATATCCCTATTGCTTATAAAATATTTGATTTCTTTATCAACATTCATGTCTTTCATGAATACGCTAAACAATGAATTGCTATTTTTTTTGGCAATTTTAATGATGACCAAAAATGATCTCAAGCAATCAAGTCCTACCATTACAAAAAACAGCAAATCTGAGAAAGTCAAGATATCTCTCTCCTTCGACTGGATTCCACCCAATGTCTGGATAACCCTTGGACACCAGCATCTGGCAACTCTGCAGTCCACATCCAGCCAAATAACGAACTACCTACAAACAAGAGGACAAGCAAAGTGACACTCTTTCCATAAAAGTCACTGGACACTTACACTATGTATGGTAACTATGAGCACCCATTGCTCACATAGACACACAGGGCCAGAGCATGGCTCACCTTTTCTAGGTCTGGCTCACGCAAAGCCAGGGCTAGTTCATTATTGTCCATCACAGAGGCTGCTGCCACATCCAGCGGTGTTGAACCTCTCATAGCTGGTGAGGCTAATTCAAACAAAGACGGGATCAAACCTGGATTGTGCTGTAACTAGGAATTCCATATAGACATGTACTGTGTTTCAAAAATTAATTTGTATATGCTACAATACTGCACTACTGTAAATCATTTGAAAGTTTAAATTTAAAATGATTATTTTAACAAATAAAATTTGCATATATTTATGTGTAAAACATGTTCTGAAATATGTAAACATTATGGAATGACTCAATTGGCCTAATCAACATATGTATCACTTTAACTACTTAACAATTTTTATGCTGAGAACACTTGAAATATATTCTCTGATTTTTAAGAATATAATACACTGGTACTAAGTAAAATTTTGTGTACTTCAACATCTGCTCGAGCCTTTACACTGAGTCCCTGGTAATCACTTTTCTATTCTCCATTTCTATTAGCTCAACTTTTTAATATTCCATCTATAAGTGAGGTCCTGTGGCATTTATCTTTCTGTCCTTGGCTTTTTTCACTTAACATAATTTTCACCAGACTCATCCACTGTCACAACTGACAAGATTTCCATCTTTCTAAAGTATTACATTATCCTTATTACCATGTTTTCTTTATCCATTCCTCTACTGATACACACTGAGGTTGATTTTATACCATGACTATCATTAATAATGTTAAAATGAATATCTGAGTGCAGATATCTGTTCAACATAATGACTTCACTTCTTTTGGAAGAACATGAGAAGTAAAATTGTATGATCATGTGACAATTTATTCTTAACATTTTTGCAGAACTTTCTCACTGTTTTTCATGTTGGCTATACTAATTTTGATTTCTACCAACAGTGTGCAATGGTTCTTGCTCTAATCATTTTGTATTTTTATAACAGTCATTCTAATAAGTGTGAGGCTATCTCATTATAGCTTTAATGTGTATTGGTGATGTTGAGTATTTTTCCATATACCTGTTGGCCACTGGTATATTTCTTTTGAGAAAAGACTTTTCAAATCTTTGCTCTTTTTTAACATGGAATTTAATTTTAAAATGTATTATGTACTTTATCTGAAAGATTAAATAAAAGCCATACATTACTTACCAAGACCAACACTGCTGTTTTCTAGTAAATAACTGAGATGATCAAACATAGCCTTTTGATTCTGCCTACTTATACGACAGAAGTAACAGAGAAAACGGCAACAGTTGGCCACCATCTTGGGAAAGGTGATTTCCTATATAAAGAGCATTTAGGTAGTTATTGAAAGCAAATGATCATTATAAAACTGAGCTTAGACCCTGAGGTCTCAATCACATCATCAATCCATATGTGCCTGTGTGTGCCATACCTCAGATATTGAAGGTCTTCAAAGGTGTAGACTGATTGGTCTTTGTCTTGAGCCACTAAAAACCAAGCCTGGCACTAACTCAGAAGCCTCATTACCACCAACAGGTGGGATCTATAATCAACCTACAATCCTAAACTCAAAGGTAGCAAGGGCCTTGGTTTAGAGATCAGGAAACTCAGTTATGGTTCCTGACTACTACAAGGAAAGTGTGCTTCCTTGGGAAATTATACAATCTTTGATTGTGTAATATTGGGTTAATATGAATAATAATACTTTTAGTAAGAAAAGGAAAGGATACACTGAGATAATTTCTGAAAGATTCACAGTTTAGTACATGGAACTCCACGATATGTTATTCCTATTGGACTGCTGCTGCTGCTGATGATGATGATGATGATGGTGATGAGATTCAAAACCTTCATGATTAGCAGACAGCTAGTGTGCTGAGCCCCTGGACTCAAAGGCTCCTAGTGGGCCCTACCTGACACACCACATCTTACCCCAGATGCTCCCTACCATCCTTCTTTAACAGAATATACTATGAATATCTATTCAAGTCTGTCTAACTTATAGAAACCCTGATGATGGGAAATATAGCCTTATTTCTATGCGAAAAATATATCTTAAAATTTAAAATACAGAAATGTATTTTGTATATTAGAAGCTATAAAATTATACTGATTTACATTAAGTTAATGTCAATTTACCAATTTAATTTTAAAGAACTTTATTTTAAAACAAAGTTTAAAAGTTCACTATAGAATCTTACAACAGATATGTTCCAGAGTATCACAGTTGGGTCCTGAATAGTTCAGAAATTTAGTGGAGCCAATTGTCTGACTCATGAGCAATGGCTGGGTCTGAAGGACATCCCTGTGTCATGGTGTGGGGATATGACAGGATTTAACTCACAATTCAAAATAAATGAGGGTGCATTAACTTTTGAAGTTCCTGAACAGCTCCTAAATTAGCATAATTTAGGGGGAACCAAATTACATAGCATAAGGTAGAAACTTTATCACCATCAAGGAAATGACTAATAGCACATCCAACTCTCAGTCTCCAGGTGATGTTCTTTAAAAGCAATCCTCTAAAGAGGATTTAAGATCGTTATGAACTCTCTGCAATCTATGTGCTAAGGAGATTATACTGAATAGCACCCCAGGAATCAAAGACTCTTCTTTACCTTGGACTCCCCACCTCCAAGGACATTCACCATGACTTCCATCACGGTCTCGTGCATACCAAGTGCTCTCATGAGATTAGGGTGCTGGTAAAACACTTTATTATTCATGATGTCCCTAGAAAGAACAGTGGAGAAATGGGGGACAGCACTGAGCTCAGAGAAAAAATTAAATAAACATTTATCTGAGATTCTGTTAGGCCTTTTAGTAATAATTTTATAGGTCAGAGTTAAACCACAAATGTTAATGACTGCAACTGAATTTTTATAAAAATATTGATAGTCTACCAAAAGTGGTATAAAATTATTTATTGTTTTCAATGACAAGAAATGTTCTAAATATGTGAACATTGGTTACATGAAATATATTTTGGACACTTATTCCTAATCCAACCATGTGTTCCACTTTCTATTGTTTAGAGGTAATAATCAGTGTTATACCATGTTCATATATAAATTCTTTTCTTTTTTCTTTTTTTGCCATGTGCTGGGAAGTGAACACAGGGCTTTCCCACTGAGCTATATCACCAGCCCATCTGTCTGTCTGTCTATTTTTGAGGCCCAGTTTCCCTAAGTCACTGAATTTCCCAGGCTCCCAGAGTGTTGGGATTATACAGATGAGCCACCATGCCTGGCTATATATAAATTCTTGACGTTTAAGTACCTCTGCCTTTCACATATTCTTCTTGCTGTTACTGTGACACTCCCTAGTGTCAAGGTTTTATGCTAGACAAGCACTTTCCACTGAACTATACTCCCTGCCCTATTTATGCAATTTTTAGTACTACCTTCAATATTTGCATGTACAATTACAGTAGTGATATTTTCTGCTATATTCATGTTATCATTTCAGTGAAAAGCTTGAAAAAAATGCATATTTTGCCAGGGATTTAGCTCAGTGGTTCCGCTGCCTGCCTTGCAAGCGCAAGGTCCTGAGTTCAATCCCCGGTACAAAAAAAAATGCATATTCTGCAGGAGAAACTGAATGTTTATGAAGTCCAGGTACAAGTAATTCATCTCATTAAAATAAACATTCAATTCAAAGAAATAGCAAATAATACTTTAAATGATTCATATTATTACTGAATTAAACATTACTGCAGGATATGTGTCAAAGTCTTTCTAACAGCTCATTGTAAATAAAAAGCTCTGCTGATTTCTATCATAATCTAAATCAAATCAATACAAGAGCCTTTTGTATAAAACACTTTCTGGCAAAAAAAACTGAAACTTTCTTCAATCTGATTTCCTTAATTGAATCACTCACCTATTCATTCAGTCATCTAATAAATTTTAGTTATCTGACTTTAAGTAGATTTATAATTATACTGCCAAGTAGTTAGGTTATCATTTACTAGGCATGTCCTTTATGGAAATATTTCTGATACCAAAAAAGTAGAATTTTATTTAATAGTATTTTGAATTTTATCAATAATAAACCATTTATTTGTTAATGGTACAAATGATTGTTTCTGTGTCCATTTAAGAAAGAAATTCATCTCTAGGAAGGCTTTCTTCTAGTTAATTAAAATCACATCTGATAAGAGGATTCTTTAGGTAAGATTTAAATGCTAATATTCAGATAAGATCCATGCTTATACAATGATAAAAAAGACCTTAATCTTTGCTTTTTGAGGTATAAGCTTTTCTGTTTTCTCTGTCTTGTTAAAATTAATATTATTATTATTCTTGTATAACCATCATTATGATGGTCTTGCAGTCTATTTTCATGAATTTGGATACCAAATAAGTCCACAGCAATATACTGTTTTCAGAACTAAAAAGGTACTGTGGGGCTATGCTTGATTGTTTCAACTTAATTGGCTTGGAAACTACCTAGAAGTTTAGTAAAGCATATTTCTGGGTGTGTCTGGGTAGGTTATAGAGGGGTAACATTGGATAATATATATGATCTTTGCCCCTTTCCTCTCTCAGGCTGTTCTCCTGGTCTGCTTCCTGACCTCCACAAACTAAGCAGTCTTACTGTGGTATGCCCTTCCACCCTGATGTTTCTATCTTGGAACTAGTTACCATGGACTAAATCCTCTGAAACCATGAGCTAAATAAACCATTTTCTCCTTTAAGTTGTGGGTGTCTGATACTTAGTGCTAGCAATGGGAAAACTGATTAATGTATACACGTAAATGACATTATACAATAGTGTCCTGATACAATTGTTTTATTCCCTCAGTATAGTTGTGCCAAAGAAAAAAATTGGGTTATTCTACTTCATTAGTTTTACTCAAAGAACCAACTCTAAGATTCTTTGATCCAGGGCCAGGGATTTAGCTCAGTGTTTTTGCCACCTGCTGTGCAAGTCCAAGGACCCAAGTTCGATCCCTGGTACCAAAAAAAAAGATTCTTTGATCCAGTTTATTATTTCTTTGTGATCTATCTTATTCATGCAGGAGGGACCTTCATTGTCTTTTCTTTTGCCTGATCTTTAATTATATTAGGATTTTTTTATTCCTGAATATTTCTCATCAACTTTTAATGTTTTACATTCTAGATTTGTACATCTTCAGGCATTTTTTCTCATCACATAGTTTAATTTGTACAGTTTGAATTTTTATCACTGTGTCCATTCCACCTTATTTTCACAGCCCCAAATTTAAAAGGTCTGAATGATGACTTTAAGAAAATATTCTTTATTTTGTTGTCACTTCTGAATATGGGGTATAAACTTAAAGCACCAAATCCATGTGACACACAGGCTCATGCTATTGGATACTCAAAAGTATTTCCCTTCTCCTTCTTTTTCCAAAGGTCCAGTACATGAAGACAAGTTTTCTTATTATTTCTTGTAGGTGAGTGTTTGTTCCCTACCCACCACAGTTTTTCATGTGTTTTTATTATTTTAAGTTTTATCTATAATTGTTTACTACTGAGGAACTGGAAAAAATACTCTTAAGCTAATTGTCATGATACCTTAGCTATGTCATGATACCTTAGCTTCTAGCCATATAGTCATCTTTTCTTACTGAGAAACTCTCTAATTGAGCTGAAAAACATAATCTCTAGAAATATAGTGACTTAATACAATGATCACATAATCCAGACTGTATACTTGTATTAATGCACCCACTGCAGTACTAATTGGATAAAAATTAGAAGAAATTTCTAAGACAAAGCACAGTCATAGTTTAAAAATTTACCCTAATCCACGAATCATAAGCTTCTCTTCTTCCTTGCCCATCCTTACACTTAGCAGGGAACGGATCTGACCAAGGGAGGCCAGCAGATTGATGGTGTCTTCTACAGAGACACCATTGATGGTATAGGTCTTCGGTAGTGCCCGGACCAGGCCCCCAATACCATCATACTGTCGATGCAGCAACACAAACATGGCCCTCACCAACTCAGGGTCTTCAATGACAGACTCCTGAGCCCACCGGACCATGGTCTCAGAAATCAACTGCTGGAGACTGGCTGTAGTGATACCATATACAAAAAAGGAAAATAAGAAGAGAAGACACATCAGTTGGACATGTCAAGTCCATATGTCACAGTCCCAAAGTGGTATCTATTTGTACCCAAATTGAAAAGGCTAGGAATAGTCTTTGAAGAACATAAACTTCATTTCAATATTATCTTATTTCAATAAAGATTAAGTCATACAAGGATAAAAATACAAACACTTCCCTTAAAAGGTATTTTTAGCATTAAACAAGCTCTTTCAAATTTGCAAACTCTTCTGTAAAATTACTATTGGCAGTCTGTAAGTAACTGACAGTAGGACAATTAATACGAGCTACTCTAACTTTGGTTCCATTATTTTCCTTCCAGAAGATCTGATATGAATATCCTTATAAAGGTCAGTCATAGATTTCAAAGATATGTGCTTATCCAGCTGCTTATCTTCAATTCAGTCATTTGCAAGAGTGACCACATATAATTATATTTTTATTTAAATGAGAATTCTGGATTGTCACTTAAAATGTCTTCAAAAGGATTTGATTGTGAAGATATATTAAAGTAGGAAGTTATTTCATTCATACAATATTATTTCCAATGTAACATGAAACACTACTTATGTAAAAACAATACAAACTTCCAAATCTCTCAAAGCAAATAGTAAAATTATCCAAATTAAGTGGGGTTTTTGTGACTGATTCATATACCTAGTGAGGCACTGTGCCATTATAGATTTCCATAGGTCTCAAAACCATGCTGTCATTTTAATAAGATCATGAATCTGCTAACAACAAAATGTGATTAATAAAAAACTTTGAACTATAATTTTGAAGATGACCTGACTCAAATTTGATTGTGACTCTGAAGAACAAATTTAGTAGTAATTATATGGATGAAGATTTTTAAGTTATTAAAAATTTTAGTGAATTTATTACTTTCTTTCAGAAAAAGCCCTTAATAACCCAGCACTGCATCTTAAAATCATGGCACTCTTAGAAGTGGAGTAATAAGTAAGCTGGGTCCCTAAGAAGTTCTGGGTACCCTGGACAAGATGACTGTGCCATGCCCAAGGGACCCATAGACAAGGGGCTCTATCTGGTTCCCAAGAGTAGCATCCTTTGTTCTTAGTTAAATATGATGCATGATCAAAAAATATAGGGAATGTTTAAATTAAATAAAAATTTATTACAATAAAAGATGCATTGCTATTAATCCTTCTCAAAATACTCCTCACTTTTCACACACATATCCCATTCTTCTTGCCATTTTCTGGAGCAGTTCTAGAAGTCTTCTTTCATGAGTGGCTTTAGTTGCACTTTTGTAGCTGCCATGATGTCGATGTCCTCAATCAGTTCAATATTTACCTTTCCTAGTCATTTTGACATTGAGGAAAAGCCAGAAGTTGCATGGTGCCAGATCTGATGAATAGGGTACGGCAGATGAGGACATACCATGTTTTTATGAGCCTGCCTTTTCATTGCATGACACTTGGTAGCAGTACTTACCATATTTTTTATTGAACTTTGTAAACAGTGAGAGAGTATTTAGAGGGCGATTAATGACACTGTAATAACTTTTTTCATTTTAAGATTTACTGTAGTTTTCAACCATACTGCACAGGATAAGGATGAAGCAGAAAAGCATAACACTTTGGGAAATGTTTCAGAACCAAAATAAAGTTATAATCAATACCTGTTTAGCTTTTTAAAAAAAGTTTACTTTGATGCAATCACCTGAAAATCAATTATAAGCAGAGTATTTATACATGAGACCAAAACATCTCCCTTTAAACTTTTTCTGAGAGTATCTGATCAAACATCTAATTTACTTCTTTTGGAAGCCCATCCATCCATGTCCTGCTGCTACCTCTCACTCTGGTCCTGCAAATACAGTTTGTCACTGTTGGCTACTTCTAGGAGCTACAAGCATGAAATTAAGGTTCTGATTCTTGGAAATTGTAAACTCCATGATCTTGCTGGATCTTTGGAGTGTAATATTCTTCACTAAAAAAACTGAGTATGATATTCTCTCAAGAGTAAATGTAAGTGGAATATGCACTCATTAATAAATGTCATGGTCAGGTTTCTGTGCCAGAATCCATTCATATGCTTACAGGACTTCTTGGCATCACTTGCAATTGGCTTTTCTGCTTGTTTCTTCTTCAGGTATGTCACCTTTTCCACCAAGGACAGCAGGCGTCCTCTGATTGTTAAGTCACTATTTCCATCCAGAGACCCATCTTCATCTAGCTCAATCCCTAGCATGGAAAAAAGCAAAGAAAGTAATTAAGGGGAATTCTGACTTTGAATGCCATCTGCCTAAACAATCCTCCACATCACTTATGCCCAACTTCTAACATCTCTTCCCACAAAAAATGTCAGTTGTATTTTGATAATTTGAGAGACAAAGAACAGGCACAATTAGGTGTCCTAAACCAGGGAATGCTCTTTATCTGTATCAATAATTCCAATGTTTTAGAGTACTCCTTTCTTTACATTATATGCATGGTATAAATTCAGATACTCAGTGACTCTTCATTCATAAAATGAATACATTTTTTCTCTTCATTTAAAATAAGGTAAACACAGTTCCAGTAGTGATGTGTGTGTGTGTATGTGTGTGCAGATGTGTATGTGTGTGTCAAAGAATGACTGATTCATTTTCTTTCATTGAATGACAGGGCTTGTCTACATCATGTCATAAGAGAATAAAGAACTATACATCCAGAATATCTCATCAATTCTATTTTGAAAGTTCTTAAAATAAAAGGAAGAGAGATTTCTTTTAACTGACTTGGACTACAGACATATAATAATGTAAGATCTCCTTAGGCACTCATTAATTTCAAAGGACATATGCTAGATTTCCTAGGTCAATCCTAAAAGATGGCTCTTCAGCCAGTTTAAATACGAATCTTTGTAATCAAATTTCTTTCTTTTATTTTAAAAATAGTTTTATTGGGGTGTAATTAATAGATTAAAACTTCACACAATCAATATATACAATTTAATAAGTTTGGATGTATTTATATATGCATTAAACCATCATCACAAGCTATTGACATAATTCCATCGCCTGTGAGTTTCCTTGTGCTTCATTTCTCTTGCTGTGTTTGTTGTTATTTTAAGAATGTTAACACGAGGTCTATCCTCTTAACAAAGTTTTAAGTGCACAACACACTTAAAATAATAAATAATACTATAGGCACATGTTATACAACAGATACATAGGACTTACTCATCTTGTGAAATGGAAATTTTACAGCCAATGACTAAAAAAATTAAGACTCAATCTCTCTTCCAGAAGCACCCAGCTACATATCCCCCTTACTCCTTCTGCTCCCCTGCCAATGATGGAAGAGGGAAAAAAGAGAAAATTTTGGTCATCTTCAGCGTGGTCTTATTGCCTCTCTGAATTTTCTGTCCCTCTTGAACTGCCACATATTTTGCCATACAAAACATTCTTATTTGAATTCTAAGTTTTAATGCACAGAAATACTAACAAACTCCTAACAGAGATACTATTCACATATGTAGTAAATCTTATATACAGATTGAAAATATGTATTTAGTAATAGTTGTAAGTCAAGGAAACATTACCACAATGTGTCATCAAATCTTCATGGAAATCTAAGAGTTGGTCACGAATTTCTTCAGGACATGGACATTCACTTTTGTCATCCTTAAAATTGAGAAGCATATTGATCTGAAAATAGAACAAACAAAAAGAAGAACAAGGGATAAAAGAAAGGAAATTTCATGAATTATACAAAAAAAGTAAAACTAAAGTTGTTCAAGTGCTCACTTCGGCAGCACATATACTAAAGTTGTTCAAAATCAGTTTTCAAGTGTCCACAAATTATTGCCCAATAAATGACAAATCACTGTATTTACTGTTCCATCACAAAATATGTTTGTATCACAAAATAAGTCAAATCATCCAAAGCTTAGCAGGATAGAAAATAGTCACACAATCTTGACCCATTTTTCTGAATTTTACTACATGGTAGACTCTTGCATACTTTTAAAATACTTAACTAAGGAATCTACTACTAATATTAATGGTTCAATTAACCTGTAGGACATTTCTTCCATTTGTTTTAGCTGTAGATACAGTAATATTAAATTTATGAATGAATGCTATCCAATATTTAAGCAATTTTTGAGTTTTTTGGCTAAATTTTTATTCTGAGATAACTATAGTTTCATATACTATTGTTAGAAATAATACAGAAACCTTACATGTTTTTTACCCAGTCCTCCAATTTTCCTGTCCTTCTCAAGTTGCCACAGAGACAGCAAAGCATTTTGACATAATAATATTTATCGTATTACAGTACAATATCACAACCATTATATCACCACTGATAGAGCCAAAACACTGGACAATTTCTTTGCCTCAAAGGTTCCTCATGTGACCCTTTTAGGACTGCACCTTCCTATCATCTCTTCATCCTTAACCCCTGACAACCAACCTCTAATCCATTTTCCATCTCTATAATTTTGTCATTTTCAGAATACTTTTAGAAGTAACATAAAGTATGTATACTTTCTCATATAATCCATTTTTCAAAAGAAAAAGATTTACTTGACATATATATAACTATATATGATGCAATATTATGTTTTGACATATGTATCACTGTACAGAGATTAAATCAAGTTAATGTTAATTGGCTGTTATGAGTCATCATCTCATCTACTCGTCTTTATGTGTTTGGGGGTGGGTGGTAGGAAATAAAATTCCATGTAATCATTTGCTCTCTATAGGGTCTGTAGTGATTTCCCACTTCCTTCCTGTTAGGTGTAATTTGTATCTTCTCTCTCTTTTGTCTTTCAGGTTTTTTTAGAGGTTGGTCCACTTCATTAATCTTTTTAAAATAACCATATTTTGAGTTCATTTTTTCCTATTGCTGCCTTGTTTGTCAATTTCATTGACTTCTGCCCTTGTCCATACCAGTTCCTTTGTTCTTCTTACTTTATGTCTATTTAGCTCTCTGTATTTTAAATTTTTGAGTGGCATTTTATGGTACTTATCTGTTTCCCTCATTTTAAATGTGAACGTTTATTGTCATAAATTTCCATCTCAGCACCTATGTAGGTAGATCACAGATCTTCACAAGTGATACCTATTTTTTTTCAGTTTAGTATATTTTTAGTTTCCCTTGAGACTTCCTCCTTGAATGGATTATTGGGAACTACATTGCTGAGTTCTTCAGAGCTGAGAGATTTTTCTGAAATCTTTTTGTCTTGATTTCTAACTTCATTCTAACATGATTAGAAAAAATTTTTTGCATTATTTTAAGTCTAAGAAATTTGGGGGATTATCTTATTAGCTCTGGATATGGTTAATTTTTGCAAATGTTTCATGTGGCTGGAGAAGAGTACACCTTCTGTTGTCGGGTGGAGTGTTCTACAAATGTTGACAGGTTCTATTGATGATGTGATGAGTTTTCCTATATTCTTGCTGGTTTTTCTGTCTAGCTATTCTCTCAATTATTGAGAGAGGTTTTAAAGTCTGTGGTATAATTGTGGATCTATTTTTCTTTTCAGTTCTAAAAATTCTGGCTTCATATTTTTTTAGCTCTCTTGTTTAGTGCATGCCTGTTAGTCTTCTTAACCGATTGACACTTTATTATTACATAATATTCCTATCTCTGGTGCTTTTTTTTGTTCTAAAGTCTATGTGATATAGTCACCTGTGATTTCATTTTTTAAATACTATATTTTTTTCATCTTTTCAACCTATTCACATTATTATATTTTAAGTGAGTTTATTATAGATAGCACATAGTTGCACTGAGTTTTTAAACACACTCTGCCAGTTTCTGTCTTTTAATTGATATACAGAGAGTATTTACTATTATGGCTTATATGCAGATGTCCCCCAAAAGCTTCATGTGGTCATAGGCAGGGCTTTTCGGAGGAGGCTGGATCTAGAGTGTGTGATGTCTGGATTAAGTGTGTGATGCTGGGATTAATGGTGCAATATTAGGATTAGGGGTGCCCCATCCTGAGTACAAGTGCTGCCTGCCCTAAAGGCACGTAGCCTGGATAGACTATAAGAGACAGAAAGAGGGCTGCTGCCCTCACTTTCTGCTGCTGCTTCTGTTGCTGTTGTTTGTCTTTTGCTGCCTCTTGCCCATTCTGTGATGACCCTCTGCATGCCACGCTGCCTTGAAGCCAGCTATGGACTGAAACCTTTATAAAATGTAAGCCCAAATAAACCTTTATTTTGTCTCAGCTACAAGAAAAGTAGCTAGGACATTTACACTCATGCAATTATTAATATGCTATGATTTAAGACTGTCATCTTATTTGCTGTTTGTTTCTTCTGTCCGATTTATTTTTGCTGACATTCTGTGGATTAACACTTTTTAGGATTCCATTTTATTCATCCGTGCTATTTCTCAGTGTATGTCTTTATATAGATTTTTTAGTAGTTCCTCTGAGCATTAACTTCATTTATACATAACTTATGAGTCTGTTGATATTAACATTTTATCAGTTTCAAGTACAGAAACCTTATCTCCTTCTGTATCCCTTTATTCTACCCATTTATAACTGTCTTAAAATTTCCTAATACATCCATTTAGAACATCAGATAGTTTTATAATCTTTGCTTGAACTACCAAACATAATTCAGAAAACTCCAGAAAAAATGCATTATATTTACCTATAATTTTTTATTTAACTATATTTTAAGTTTCCATTATTCTAATTTTCCACACATCCTTCTTTTGTCATTTTCCTTCTATTTAAAGAATCTCTTTTAGCTTTCTCTGAGAGCAGGCTGGCTATAGTCAAACGCTCATAATGATCCCTCATTTGAGAATTTCTTAATTTCCCCTTTGTTCCTGAAAGGATATTTTCATGGCACATAGAACTTCAGGCTGACAAGTATTTATCTTCAGCATGTGACAAATACTGTGCTACCTCCTGCTGGCATCATGGTCTCTGTAAAACCCATTGTCACTTTCAAGATTTTTTCCTTTGTCTTTATAAATTTGACTGTGGTGTGTTTTACTGGTATGGACTTAAGTAGCTTTGTGACTCTCCAACTTTCTATCTTTTGGTGAATTTGAAAAGTTTTCAACCTTTTATTTTTTTAATTATTTTTTTTTTCTTTTTGCCATCTTCCTCCTCTCCTCCTGTGACTCTAATGCCACAAACATTAAATCTTATGTCTCATTCATCCTGGTCTCTGATGTTATGTTTATTTGGTGTTTATTTTCTCTCTTCTCCTCAGAAGGAGTCTTTTCTACCATTCTGTTCTCAATTCAGATTCTTTCCTCTGCCTGCTCCATTTCACTCTTAAGCACATTCACTTCATTTCTTATGCCAATTATTGTATTTATTAGATCTAAAGTTCCATGGGGTTCTTCTTTCCACCCTTTGTTTCTTTGCTGTGATTTTCTTTTTCTTTTTTCCCTATTTTGGAGCAGTTCTGCGATGGTTGTTTCAAAGGGTCTTCATGATTTTAACATCTCTGCCATCTTAATGTTGATGTGGATTATCTTTTTTCATTCACATTTTTCCTGGTTCTAAGTATAAATGACCTAATTGAAATCTGAACATTTTGGTCATTATGGTAGAATCTTTAAATCTTACTCAAACCTATGGCTTAGATAGATTTCTCTGACCCTGTCCAGAGAAAGAAGATACAGAGGAGGATCGAGAAAATGCCCTACTTCTGCTGGGCAAGGGAAGGACTCAGAGAAAGGGCCATTCGTGCTGGTCAGGAATAGAGTTCTGGTTCCCTGTTACTCCTGTATTGATATCCTCTTGATGGATAAGATTAAGATGTCTTGTTACTTCTTTCACAGTCTCTGCTGATATTCTGGAAGGAGCAGACCTTGTTACCACTACTTGAGGATAAAAACCACAGCTCCTTCCTTGGGAAGTATCTCATTACAGCCCAGTTAGAGTGGACATCAAGGCTCCCAAACAGCCTTGGCGAGGGAGAGTGGGGTAGAGCGTGGCTACAGCAGTGTAGTTATCTAAAATATTTTGTCTTGCTAAGATGTTCCTGCCCTGGTCTTCTGGCTGGTTGACAGGAGACTCTGGTTGAAGTTTTCTTGGATATGCTATTGACACTCCCTAGATGCAAGCTTCTTCATATTCAAGTCCAGGAGAGAAGAAGCCAAATAGAAACCCAGGGATCTCACTACCACATCACTCCCGGAATCCTTATGTGTAATATCCAGGGTTTTAGTGTACTTGGGAAGAATAGGAGAGAACATATACATTCCATCTTTTCAGAGGCAGAAATCTCTCAACAGTAGTTTAACAAGGAGTAGCCTTAGGAAACACAGCTCAGGAAACACTGCTTATACCAAAAAACAAAAACAAAATTCCATATCCTTTGCCTCAAAGAAATTACATTCTGATGAGAAAAAAAAAAAACTGTGTCCCTAAACACTTTCATTCTAAGCTAATTTGGATATATAGAGAAATGGTAGAGTGAGATATCAGAAATGTCTGTGATTTGTATCTTTGATTCAACCTTCTTCCATCTTGGTAATTTCCCACACTATGTCCCATTTGAGGCAGATTCCAGAACATTGTCAACACTAGACTAGCTTATTCTCTGATTCAGGTATGTGCTGGTAGTTCCACTACCCCCTCAAGAGACCTGGGTCTGTAGGTAATGAGAGAAACATCCACAAATAAGGTGATCAACTTTCTGGGAAGCAAAGTGGCAGAGGCAGTTGGTTCTTCCCTGGGAACCAAATGGAAAACATCTGGCATTGTGTCTGAGGTGTTAAGGATCCCTGTCAGTGAGGGTAATACCTTGTCAGCCAAAGAAGACCCATCTGTGGTATGATACTGTTACTATTTGCAGAACTTCAGATTATGCTATTCTGAGCTTCTCAAAACATTTGTGATGTATCTAGTATCTTCAGGTAAGTCTCTCTTTTGTTTAAAATAACCAAGTAATTTTTTGGGTGAAACTATGACTATTGACTGAATCAACCTGGCTAGATTAAACAGAAGGGGGGGGGACTATAATTATGGTACAGTTTTGCAATAGATTCTGAATGAACTAAAATCCCAAGTAAAAAGAAAGAATCTTCTTGTGTTCCTATACCTGCTCTTGGGGCGGCGACCTGAACTCCTTGGTTTTCCTGGCTGTAAGTGCTGCTGACATGTTTAAGGCTTGCATCACTTCATTATATCGGAAACGCTGATTGTCTTGGAGCTTAGCTACAAAGTCATCTGAAAAGGCTACAATGGCTTCTATCCGGTGCCGGACCTGGCAGTCACAGAGGTACTGAAGCAATAAGCACATCTAAGAAGACAAAATAAAATAAAATAAAAATCCAAATCTTTTAATAGTTAATGCATATCAAATCATCATTGGTGCTTAGCTGCCTATTCTTTCCCGTTAAGAACAGAATTGTGTGCACAGCCATGTGCTCAGTACTAGGGGATGAAGTATAATTTGTCTAAGCCAAAATGGCAAACACATGTCCCTTTGGTGGACACTTACTCCGAGCCTCTCTCGTAGCCTCAGACGATGCGGTGCATGGGTCCTAAGGAATACTTTCCCAGGGTTTTCTGGGAAGAGTTTCCACTATTGATTATGGACTAGAATGCCTTCCAGTTACACATATAACTGGCTGTGACCTGGTTCCTGGAGGAGGAACATGGTGATGTCTCTTAAAAGAAAAACTATATGCTGATCATCACAGAGCAGAGAGACACAAGATCTGGCTCCTGATGACATCAGAGTTCCTGTACAATTCTAAGCCAGACTTTATATGTAAGCGGGGAAGCTAATTAAGGGGAGAATGCTTACTCAGTAGTGAGCTGGGTGTTTCCAATTTTTCTTCTTTCTTTTCTTTCTTTCTTTTTTTCTCTTTGGTACTGGGGATTGAACCCAGGTCCTTTGCTCTGAGGTTCATTCCCCAGCTGCGCTCCCAGCCCCATGTCCTTTTTACTTTGTGATACAGTCGCACTAACTGGCTAAGTTTCCCAGGCTGGGCTCAAACTTCCAATCCTCCTGCCTCAACTTCTCAGAGTGCTAGGATTGCAGGTGTGCACCACAACACCTGGCTAGGTCAGTGTTTTCTTATGGGACACTAAAGAGATTTTTCACTGACACAGTATGTTGGCAGAAACAGGTCCATGAGATTATATTCTACCAAGTTTAGGAAAACATTTATATACAGTTAATACCAACTATGATACAAATGCACAGTGGTATTAAATAAGACTCTAAAACCCTCCATGTCTCCAAATATAATATAACCATTTCTGTCCACTCTCAGCAGAGAATTTTGGCAGTTGGCAATATGTTAAAGGAAATGCATAAATTAGTATCATCTCTCTCAGAGAGTGTGAGCTTCCAGAAGCCAGGCTGACACCCACTTCCTTCTCTTGGCTCACAGCCCAGGCCAGAGTAAGACTTCTATTAGTGCTGATGGAGGGAATGAGCAAAACCCCATGCCAACCATGCATATGACACACTGATTCTAATGAAATAAAAAGGTGTGAAGGAAAAATATTTTGTACATCTTGATGAGCGCAAAAACAGGCAATGTCTTTGATTCTTCAGAAACCTATGGCGGGGGGATTTGCTGCACAAGAATGGTCACATGCACTGGTGACCAAGTATGCTAAGGTGGGAAAGAGAGGAAGGCGGGGGGGTATGAAGTGCCTCAAATGTCAGTCATGCCGACATTATGCAGGTGAAATAAATTTGCAGAATGAAGAGGAGAAGCAAGGAGATTTGTAATGCATAGGAGGGGTAAGAATGGGAGGTAAGTTAATTTTACGAAAAACTCTACATACTCAAAAATAGACAGACGACACAGAGACAGACAAATCTAAACACTTTAATACTTAGCAGTACTGAAATTCACACTCATCTTCTCTCTGGTTACCTGTAGTTTAACTGGCTCAGGAAGTTTCATCTGGAGTAGACCTTCCTTGGGGCTCTTACCCCCTTTAGCATCTTCTTCCCCTGCTCCTTCCAGCTTTGAGTCTTCAGTACTGAGCTCTTTCTCCAGCATGTCACCTTCCTCCTCCAGAGAGGCAGCTTCCTTAAATACACTGGGCTCAATCAGCTGCAGTATGTGCTTCAAGTCCTCATTGTGAAAGATGCCCATGATCAGCAAGGTATAGAAGAGCTTGATGAGAGGCACAAAGAGGAACTCGGTAGTCCCACCGACAGGGTCCCGTGCATGGAGGCTGCCCTCCTTAACAGCCTCTGTCAGCATCTGTATGGTCTTGGCCTTGAGGATGTCCAGTGGGAACTCAGGACTGTACTGGTAACATTCATTATTGATGCTTACAAAGCTGGGGGAAGAAAACTGCATCCGTGGCCTGAGGGAGGTACTGAGGCCGATGCCAGGGAGGCCATGCTTCTTGTTCTCATCAGGGAAGAGGGTGATGCTCTTGGTTTCCTCGGTCATGGGGACAATGAATTCATTGTTCATCATGAGCCTGGCAGTGGCATAGGAGCTAAGATGGATGTCGATCAGCAGGTCATAGTAACCGGAGCGCAGCAAGCCAGGCATGTACTTGTTCTCGATGGCATAGAGCAGCTGAGGTTCATCCACATGGCTGCAGAGGGCATGGGCCACCCGGTGGTTCCCCAGGGCACAGACTGCTGAGTACAGCCGGAGGGTATGATAGTGAAATTTCAGCAACTCCTCCTGCTCTGTCAACTCTAAGATGTCAACAGATCTGTGGAAGAGGAGAGGGGAATGGCATCAAGATTGGGAAAAGATCATTAGAGAAATTCTGAATTGGAATCTGTGCCTATTACGTATTTCAAAATGTATCTCCTCCATCCTCCACCAAGGTTTTGGGTACTTCTTTTAGACATGTGGTTTCAACTTGAACCTGGGATACCCTTCTTTCAGAATTTGTGCACCCCTTGGAAAATCCCAACCCCCTTTTTCCGCTAGGTAACTTGAATCAAGAAGCCAGAAAGATTTGCCCAGGCCCAAACAGCCCTCATTTCTGTCCTATGATCAGGGTCTTGGCCTGACCAGTCAGAAGTAGGTGAACAGAGTACTAATACCTCAGTCCCAGAAACCTCCTGCTACAAGTACCCATGTTTCCACACAGGTATACGCAGTTCATGAAACAAACAGTATAAATGGCATTTTCTACCTAGCAAAATCAAAGAGCCCCTCCAATATCGATTGCAGTGGGAGTTCACACTGTATGTTTAATTCAGATCATTTTGCTTCTGATAAAGCCTACAGCCAGGTTATACCTAAAGTCAAGCCATTTCTTTCTGAGCATGTGACAGTTGATCTAGATTGTCGATTTAATTGCATTGAGAAATTCCCAGGGGATTAGTAAAGCACACTTCTGGATATATCTGAAGTGGGTCATGGAGGCATGGCTTTGGGGACTGTATTTGGTGCTCGGCCCCTTCCTGTCCAGCTCTCTTCCCCTTTGTCCTTCCACCATGATGTCTCCTCTTCACAGCCAGCCAACCATGGACTGAAACATCTCAAGCTGTAAGCTAAAGTAATCTTCTCCTCCTTTAAGTTGCAGCCGTCAGGTATTTTGTCCCAGTGACAGGAAAGCTGAGCAACAGAGAGGACATACTTTCTTTAGATGTGATGTATTCTTCGCTATTTAAATTATATAGATTGTTCATGGGTGAAACTGTAGTATTAAAAGTAGAAACATGATATATCCTTAATCAAAAGAATTGTTTGCTCATCTTGAGAGGTGTTCTTAGACTTATCATTTCTTCCATGAGAGCAGGGACACGTGTTTGTGTATGTGTGTGTGCGCATGTGTGCATGTATTTGGTTTTCTACTATCTTTCTAGTGCCTGTAATAGTGCCTAGGGCAAGTAGCTGATTTTGGTGTGGACAGGTTTTGTTTTCCTTTCTCTTGGGTATATTCCTAGAAGTGGAATTGCTAGGTCACATGGTAATTCTTATGTTTAATTTTCTGAGGAAATTACAAGTTGTTTCCCAAAGCACAGGCTAAATGGTAAAGGTATCAAATTAAAATAGCAACCATACAAAATGATATAAAAATGCTTCTTGGGAGGCTGAGGTAGGAGGATTGAAAGTTTGAGACCAGTCTAAGCAACATAACAAGACTAAAAACTAAAAAGTAAAACTTATAATAGCCAAATCTCAGAAGAAGCCTATATGCCCATCATCAGATGAATAAATTTTAAAAATGAAATATATATATAAACTGGAACGACAGATAACTTTGAGTCACTTGTAGGAAAACAGATGCACCTTGAAACCATAATGCTACATGAAGTAAATCAGACACAGAAGGCTAAATATCACATGATTTCTCTTATAAGAGAAATCTATACTATAAATAATTTAAAGAATAAAAGAAAAGACAGGAGCTAGACTACATGGAGATGGGAAGGGGAACTGGGGATGGAGAGAGACAGAAAGGAGGGGAGAGGAGAGGAAGTGAAAAGGATCAAGATGTGACAGGTATGTATATGCACCAATGCCCCACAAGGAATGCATTTATTATGTATCACAACCATATACTAGTAAGCAGGGGGTCATATATCCCATAATTATTTTATGATTAAAGACTTAAAATGAGAATAATTACATTTACACTATTTTCATACTGTATTTTCACTAAGTATGTGATTAAACATTTTATGGTATTTAGGGAGGGGGATCTTGGTCCAAAACTTAGAAACTTTGTATTGGGAATAAGTCCAATAAAATGAAATCTATGTGATTTAACTGGAAGTCACAAGGGAAAACTGAAAAATCATAAGCAAAGCTACCACTGTACCTTATGCTATTACTTCTACTGCCTAAAATATACATAAATTTGTCTGCAAAGTGCAGACAGTATTTTCATAATTTTCTTTCATTATCATTTCTTTCATTCTGTTCTGTTTTTCGTGTATAATAAAACAAAAGGTGGAACTAACTGGTTCCTATTATTCCATCCCTAATATCTTACAATTCTGTATTGTGTTATTTTGCTAAGTCATAAGTCACCCTGCACTTGTAACCTTGGAGTAATTAAGAGTGAATGAAGAAATCACACACTGTTATGTGGCATCAACTACAGTACAATTCATTTCAATAGCAAATTGGCTGAGAAATAGACTTAAACTTGGATGGTGCACAATAATGAGCCCATTGCCAACCATTTGTTTTGCCTTCATTTTGTTTCTCCTGCAGCACCCCTGGGTCTATTTCCAAGTGTCCAAATCAGACCACGAAGGGTTTCGAGGGCTGACCTGTTCTCCTCTGGGATGTGCAGGGACATGAACTGCAGAGGGTCCAGGCACTGCACCAGCCAGCCTTGGCGCTCACTTATTCGAGAGACGTCCACCTTCAGAAACTGGTTGGGCATCCGGCTCCATAGCACATGCGACAGGAACTGCACGTGCAGACGCGGGGGACACTGGGGCACAGGGTTCTTGTGTTCACTCTTGAACAATCCCGCAGAGAGAGGCATCACATTCTAGGGATGAGGAAGCAGAAGGAGAATGAATTTATAACATCCCTTGGAGTTCCTGAAGCAATGGATAAAATCCTGCAGGGGAAGAGACAGGAGAAAGAAGATACACTGTGAGTCGAACAAAACCAGTATCAGAAATGCCAGAAAAACTGGGTTGAAAAGACACTCCCAAAAGGACAAGTGGAGAACACACCTAAAACTTCAGCGCAGGCAAACAGATTTTGGGTTGTGTTTTTCCCATGTACTCCATTCCTTTGTTAGGAAGAATAACTGTGCCCTCTTCAGATTTCTTTGCCAGGCTGGGCCCAGGGGAAACCTGGCAAGCCTTTAGGACTTTCAGTGTCACACTACTTTTTCAGTACTGGGATAGAACCCAGGGCCCTCACATTGAGCTACATTCCCAGGCTTTTTTTTTTTATTTCAATTTTTACTTTGAGGCAGAGTCTAAGATAACGCCACAGAACAGACACTGTGAACCCCATTTTGCAAAAGCAGAAACCATGCTCATATAGTTTAACAAACATGTCCAGCGTCACTAACCTGGCCTGGAACAACTATCTACTGTGCTTATCTGGCACCTCAACTTTAAAATTACAAAATTAAATTCAATTTTTCTTCCTGAATTTCAACAACCACTTCCAGTTGTGGCACTAACATCACCACACAGTCCAAACCAAAAAAGATGAACTTTAATCCTTGATTCCAGTACTTGAACCCAGTTAACTGACAAACCTTATTAAGCCAATTCATTGTCAAATCCTATCTATTTGACCCCTGAAATATTTTCATTTCACTTCCTCTCCCTTGGAACCTTCCTGGCTCTTGCCATCATCTCCCATGTAGATCGCACCGAACCAGTAACACCTGCCTGCTCCTCCCTGCTTCCAGTCTTGCTCACCTGAACATTACCACTAACATGTTTTCCCAAGATCAGTTTCATTATACTCAATTTCTTTCTTCAAACTTCTAACAGTCGTTCCTGTCTGTGTACTAGGTACCAACCTCTTGGCATAATACTCAAGGCCTTTCAATCCAGACGTGGTCCACACAGTAATCTCCAAAGGAAAACATCCTTTGTTATGGTCACATGGAATCACTTCACCTTGGCATTTTCATTCTTACACACTTCTGCTTTCTTTCTCCCTCTTCCCACTCTTTCCATTCTTCTAGTCAATGTCCCGGAGAATCCCTACCTAATAGTCTTCCACCTCAAGATAACCTCTTCTTTCATATTTACCTGCTTCACTCATCTAACTCTGCTGTAATTTCATTTATGTCCCTACAGAATGTTATTCGCACCCCTATTCTAAGTCACCTGGTTTCAAGTCTACGTTTGTTTACTAGACCACCTATAAGTTCAATGATTACTGTTTTTTGTGTACAACTTAGCATTTTCTGGTTCAGTATAAACCATGTTTTATTAAATAATATAGTTAAGATAACTAAAGAGAAACTTTTAAATTATGTTACTATAGTGACCTGAAATAGATTTTCAAACATAGCTACCTTTCCCCTAAAGTATGATTTATTTGATTCATATCACTACTAATAAAATACTGAATTCATTTAAGAAGTACAAGCTAGGTCCTAACAGAAAACAATACGAATAAAATATTAGGAATGAATTTTCCTTACCTTTATTCTTCCTAACTCAAACTGGAAAACATTGGGACTTGTGGCTTGTGCAAAAACTGCAGGAAATAATTTTGTACTTGGCTCCACCTTAAATAAACAAGTTAATTTAGTAATGTCAGTAAAGAGAGATGCTAAAGAAAAGTATTTTCTGTATAACAACTAAGGAGCCCATGACAGAGAGAAACCAAAATGTCCCCTTTCTCTCATGTGAAGAGTCTTTTTCAGTAATTAGTCAAGATATTTCATGACCTTGGAACATTTTTAGAGGATCTATTTACTTGAAGCAGCTTATGGCTCTACCAATACCCAATAAAAGTGAGCATACATAATTAACTTTTCTGCTTCCATCTTCTCTTAATTTCCAAATTACTTTTTGATCTTACAAAGCATGTATCCCTTTAACAGGGAGAGATGATTTCCCTCTCTAGCAGCGCAAGACATCATCGACCCTCACCACGTACCTGATAGTAAGTGCTCAGCTCCTTGCCATTGGCTATGAATGTGAGCAGCCCACTGGCGGCGTCCACCACACAGCCGATCTCCAGCCCATTACTGTTGCGTCCTTGCCCGGGGCTCATGCTCTCACCAGCACACACCATATAGCAGTTGCTGCGTTTGATGCTGAATTGCAAAAAAATCCCCATATTTTATCTTTGAACAACCACAGATAAGAGAGAAAGCATGTGTATCTTGCAAACTAAACCTAAATTATGCTGCGCAAGCAACAAGCTCATGCTGTAATGGGAGAGGTGCACAATGGGCCGATTCTGTGATTCTGAGCAAAACTCCATTGACGGCAGTGGACGTTCTGAATCAGGTCTGACTCGTCTCTGAATTTCACACCTAATGGAGACAGGTCAATGAGTTGGAACTAAATAAGAAACTGACCTGCACCTTCTCTCCAAAAACTCAAACCAAACTGGACCTTTTTCTGAGGTTCAAAAAAGTTTAACTACTTAATCAACATCCAAATTTGTAATTTTCACCTCATGGTTTGATTTTATTTTCTTTGCAATAATGGGTTCAGAGATGAGAAGGGTTCATTTCCAAACACTATCCAAGTCCTTAGGCAAATTCTACATGCGCCATCAGTGATTCAATATAATTAAATTTGGCTAAAAGTATGCCCCATTGTGGACAGTTCCTGGTGATCTGTTATGAGAGACAGAGCTAACTAGAATATGCACAAAAAAATCAGTGATATCAAAAAGAAAACTTCCCCTGATTTTCACCTTCTCCAAAATCTTTATTAGAGATGGTGACAAAGTGAAATATTTTGAGCTTCATTTCTATTCCCTTCTCTACCACTGTATGGTAAGCCTGTAAACAACTATGGAAAATAGGCCAAAGTCAGGCAAGCAAGAAGAAAAGAATGAAAAGATTGGGATAAAGTTAGTTTGGGATAATCAAATACAGACTATGTTTCTTTGCACATAAGATTCAGTGATTCTTTCCTATCCTCTATTTCCTACCCTAAACCATCTATCAGTTATCCCATCCCTACAGTGAGTTCTTTTGCTGATACTGTTTCTATTTCTGAAAATCAAATGCACCCCAAAAAATATTCCTAGAATCATGGGGTTTGGGGTCCCATACTGATGTAAAGTACTCTTTATTCGAGATTTTTTTCCTAGGCCTTATCTTAAGTGCTGAGACCAATATGTTTAAAATGTATAAAGCTGAGAGCAGGAAAATGAGTTTCCCAATTGGTCACCAAAAAGGATGGTGCAGATATAGAAGGAAAGCAACATTATGAAGGACTCTTTCTGAGACCTGTCACAGCAGATCAGAGAGGATTCATGGGCATAAAAGATAGCAGCAAGTGGTCGGATCTTCTCTTGTCTTATTCTGCAAGGAAGATAGCCTTCTTCACTTTTTTGAAGGTTTGGTTTGAGTTTGGTTTATTTTACAAATGAGAAAGGATGGCACAGAAAGTGTAACTGACTTACCCAAAGCCACACAGCGAGTCAAAGGCAAAGCTGAGGAAAGAACCCACTGCTCCTCAGTCGGAGTTCAAATGTGTCCAACTGGTCTAAATTACCAGCCCACTCTGACTTCATATTTTTATCCCCACCACACAGCCAGTTCCCTAGATATTTATCAGACCAGATGCTAACCACCTCGCTTTACCCATCTCTCATCCTTCAAATAAGGGCTAAGTATTGGGAACCCAAATCATTCGTCATGTGAGCTGGGCAGATATTATTACACACAAAGGATATACCACTCCTACTCTATGTTTCTTGCTTTTAACATATTTAGATTCTTGCTGGTTTGTATGAGTAACAGAAAGGACACTGACATTAATGGCTTTGTCACATTGTTCCTACAAGTAGAAATATTCTTGCACAAAATCCAAGAGACAAAAATTCCTAGGTTTACCAATATTTTTGATGTCACTCATGTAAAAAACTGAGGTGAACCAACCTTTCATGTACTTTTCCTTTTTCATCTCCTAGAGTTACAGTCACTGTACGGACTCTGTCCAAGTCAAAGCCTGTGTCATACTGGTGGAAATCAGATGTGATCCATCCCACCCAGACATTAGCAGGTTCTTGGCCAGGAAAGATTCTCACTGAGTAATAGTACTGTCAAGACAGAAAAGCCAGAAATTGGTAAAGAAAAGCAAAACAATGCTGATTTCAATCTCTGAATTACCTGAGAATGTATTTTTTTAAATCATTTGGCTAAATGATGTTATAGGCACAAAAGGTGAACACTGCAAAATGAGAAATGTTTTATACCATAGATCTTGAATTTAATCAGAAATAATGGGAAAAAGAGAAAAGACCACCTGAGCAATATATGTCTATGTGTGCAGGTACATACATTTGTGTATTGTTTACACTATATATATATATATATATATATATGTAGTATGCAATGTATGCAATTAAATGTATCAATCCATTTAGGTACCTTAGCTTCAAGTTCTTCAAGCTGGTGCAAATCCGCTAATCTATGCTAGAGTTTTTATGTTTGTCAGCCAACTCTTGCAAATACTTGGCCTTTCCTTTTTCAATTATGTAATATTTTGACATCTTACGTCACTTTGAAATAGTTCAAGTCTAATATGTGAACATCAAACCCAAACATGGAAGCACTCTATAATAGACACAATTTTATATTATTTCCATTTGGCATTACAGGAAAAGTAGAATTAAAAATTTGAAACAGCAGTCAGCAAGACCTGACCTCTTACAAAGTATGATAAATAATCTTTTAGAGTATTCCCTACAATGAAAGAAATTATATGTACTTGGAAAAGGGCAAGTGGCAAGTTAAAATTTTTCAATGAAATAGGATAGCAAAAATCTCAATTACAGGTGTCATTAAGAATATTTTCCCTACGAGCCGGGGATTTAAGCTCAGTGGTTCTGGCACCTGCCTCTCAAGTGCAAGGTCCCAAGTTCGATCCCCAGTACCAAAAAAAAACAAAAGAAAGAAAGAATATTTTCCCTAAATAACTCTCTTATTGAATAACACACATTATAATACATTTTTCAAATATCTTAACCCCAAAATATATCTAAAAATAGAAGCAAATAATTATTTTTAAGAATTGAATCAAAGTATACTGTTTGATTTTGTTTTATCTTATGGTGCTGGGAATTGAATCCAGGACCTAGAATATGCCAGGCAAGCACTTTACCACTGACTACATCCCCAACCGAAGTATACTACTGATGGTATAAATAATAATCACTGACAAACAGAGAAAAGGACAAAAGCTGCAACCTCATACCGTGGAGGTTTGCATCAGGTAATCATAGTCATCCCGATCATCTGCCAGGACATCTTCAGTGAGTCTTGCAGAATGGCTTGTGCTGTAATCTGGCTTTGTTCTCCTAAGTAAAAATCTGAAATACATTAGAGGACCAGCAATGAACAATGATTAAACGCTCATTTAATCTGCCTACTTCTAATAAGAGCATATAATTAATGGGGTGATCTTCAACTAGGGCAATTTTGGTCTCTAGGGAACATCTGGGAATGCAAGGAGATATTTTTGATGGTCACAACTGAGGCACAGAGTGGTCTTGGCATCTAGTGGGCAGAGGCCATGAATGGTGCTAAGCCCTCTTTGGTCCCCAGCACAGTCCCCTACAGCAAAGAATGATCTGACTAAAGTGTCAAACATATTGAGGTTGAGAAACTCTGGGTGCAAGAAAGGATGCTAAGATAATTTGCCTTTCTGAACATAAAAATACTATTTAAAGAAACACTCTATGTTTCATCAAGAATATAATATAAACATCTTAAAAAGTGACCTGGGATAGATTACATCTGCGCTAACAAATTAGAAGACCACAGGGTTACTCTATTTTTCTCATGAAATCTTTCACTAAAAGAAAAAAAAGATGAAGAACAAATTAATACTGGAAAACCCTTTATGCTGTACAATAACTCTCCCCACAGGAAAACTACATATTCAAAATCATATTGTATCTGTAAATGACCTCTGTTTCAGACGAGAAGGTTTTTCCTGAGCATAATCTTTATGGTTATTAAACTCTGGCTTTGCAGCTTCTTTGTCTTTGTCAATGCGATCGGGCACCAGATGGCCATGAGCTGTCTTCATCAGAACCTCAAAGTCAGAATCCGCGTCATAATCCTCCAAGTCATTCTTGGGCCCAAAGAGGCCTGCACCCGGGAGCCCCCCAGCCATAGTTTTGGAGAAGACCTCCGCGCACTCAATCGGCATGCTCAGGCGGTAAAACATGATGTCAGTGCTGCTGTTCTGAGAGCCAAAGGACTTCTGCGTGACCTTCAGACATGGGGAACTGTCTATGGTCCCATCTATTCTGGTCACCTAGCAAATGAAGAAGTAATATTCACAGTCTAACCACCACTGTTGATTTCCTGATCCTAAAGATAACTGATGCACATCATGTTTTCAGAATCTCAAACATCACCCACACATGCATTATTTTGTAAGAAAAGGTTATACATAGGGTACACTTCACTCTACCTCTCTGCAGGTTCTACATCTGTGGGTTCGACCAACCACCCATGGCAAATATTTGAAAAAAAATGCATCTGTACTGAATGTGGTCACATTTTTTTCCTGATCGCTTCCTTAAACAATACAGTATAACTGTATTTCAATTGCATTAAGTATTATAACTAATCAACAGATAACTTGAACTATATAAGATGATGTTCACAGGTTCAATGTAAATACTCCATCATTTTATATTTCGTAGTTCAGCATCAGCAGATATTGGTAACAATAGGGGTCCTGGAACCAATAACTTATACATAACGTGAGGCAGCAGTATTCACAGAGTTCTGCTCCTAACTCTAAAGATTGCTTGGGAAATTAATTTCACAATTGTACACATTCAGATTTGGCCTGACTCTGCTTACATATAAAAGGAAGATCATTTATCAGCCAAACATGCTATTGGTAAAGAACTAATATGAGAGGCCAATCTTTGCTTAGGTTCCACTGTTATATAACCCATCAGGGAAATTATTTTAATTTGTAATAATTGTCTAAGTAAGAACTCTCACATACAAAGAATTCTAGTTTTTTTTTTAAGTGGTGTGATTTTTAAAGTAAAAGCAAACCTCAATATGTTCATGGTTTGATGGAACTTGGAGAAACTGAGGAAGCCTCTTGCTTAGCCACATGGTAATATCTCTGTTTGTGTTAACCGCAAATGGTTCATAGCCCTCTTGTAAGCCGCAGATGGTGAAATACTTCAAGGTGCTGACATCCTTTCCGAAGTTCATCCTGCCCACCTGAGCCACACCCAAGCTACACACAGGTATGAATCCTGGGAAGAAAAACCATCAGAACCTTCAGCATTATTAGTAGAAGAACCTGTTAGTACAGAATTAACAGATGTACAGCTCCAGGCCTCTTCTTTTTGAAAACTACTCCCCTAAGGAAGAAACAATGATGTAATACAGAGAACCCTGACAATAAGTATTAAATGTAAGGCAGCGAATAACAGCATTTGATCTTGGCATTATAAATTACTAGGTATGGGCCTGGATAGTTCCCTTTTCTTACCCTGGACTTATTCTGTAAAATGAGACTACTGCTAAGCACTGCCTGATCTTCCAAAGATCCTTGACTGTCTAAAGGCAATCCCCACCTGATATTCAAGTTTCTCAGTGGTATATGTCACTCTTTCATGCAGAAAAATAAAAAAGAACCAAAGGCCAAGGAAAGTATGGCACCTTGTGTCTTGCTTTTCTCTCTGGCTAATGAGCATGGCATGTCCAAACACATAGTTGCACTTTAAACCTCTTCATACATAACACAAGGAAAGGATGGGAGGCAAACACTTAAAAGGTTTCCATCCACTGACAGCAGCTTTTGATCTATGTATATACACACAACAGCAATGACCAATAAAATAAAAACCAATAGAATAGTTCATAAGCTAATCTCATGTGTGGCAGAGTCAACAAATCCTTCCACTGTTGAATAAAAAGTGGAAAACTACATTTTGTTAATTGCTCAAGTTCTTTGGAATCAACTGTCAAAGGGCTGAGATAGCATTTTTTTTCATTAAGGAAATAGTTTTTCAGGGTGAGATGTTCATACATTCTTCATTTCTTTTTATATTTTATACTAATGTTTAAGTAGCTAGCACAATAAGCAGTTTGGGTTGGTAGGCAGACAACAAACTAAAGGATCTAGTTGGATTTTGATTTGTAGATGAAAAAAAAACAGTGGCTATTAAGAATAAGCCAACAGTTTTCAGAAGAATTGCAGTTACCCCAGCATTATGATTTATACTTTTTCCCTTGTTGAAACCAGTGACGGTGAAAGCCAGATATAAGCACCCCCCCCAACAGAAGATGACAAAAATGACACTCAATGATTCATAATGACTTCATGCAGTTTGTTTCTACCAATATGTACTCAAGGGAATGGCAGTGAAAGTTGCAACCAGCCAGGTAGAAAGAAGTCTAGCCGAGTTCCAGGGAGCAAAATGCAAAGCTTCTAAATAAGGCTAAAGAAGATGCAGCTGTGTCTGCCATCGGACCAGCTGCCAAGGCTGTAATCCAGAAAGTTGTTTTAATATGCATTCCTCAAGAAATCAAAGAAAAGGAGTGAAAAAAATGCAATAGATTAGAGATGGCTTGAACTTTGTTAGCACAAATTGGTAAATATCTAACAACCATTTGATATAACCAAGGGACACCAAGATAGAAAGAGCTCCTATGATAGTGAGCATCTATTTATCTCTGATCATTGTATTTTTAGAAGTTTCTAGTATATAGGGGAAATCATTTGAGACCCATAAATTGCTGCATAGTAGACCTCTGTTATGCTCATCTCTTTTTTGTATCTTTAAAATACTTCCATTTAAAGCAGTGGCTACTGATATGCACAAGCAATGTCCCAAGCTGGTCACTATAGCTAAGTTTACAATTCTAGAATACTGTTTCAATAACAAAGATACCCTTTTCATGAGATGGAATATTATTTAGTCCTTGAAAATTCAGTCTTCAAAGGTTCAATTAATATACAGGAAAACAGTCACAGCAAATATTATTTGAAGAAATATATAGCATATGGTTTACTTTTAGATAGAAAAACACCAGAAGGTTTTTTTTTAAATCAAAGTTTCATAGTGGTGGGATTTTTAATACTTTGTTCTCTCTTTTTTTATATATATCTCTGAACCTAACAAATTTCCTTTAATGAATGTGCATGCATTTCATTATAAAGACAAGTTAGACTTTTATTTAAAATATTTCATTTAACAAAACAGGACATGACTACTTATTAAAAAAAAAAAAACTCTGCAAGAGTGGTGTGGATGTGAAATGGCTCAAACTTCAAGCCCTAATACTGAATGTTGATATGTGATGAGTCCAGCACCAGAAGTCCTACTCATCACATTAAACGAGTACAAGATTTATGTAGGAAAATTGCTAGTATGTATTAAGAAACTTTCAACCACTCATATCTTTATTTGATAAATACTATTTGAGCAGGTACTATGTACTAGAAACCAAGAATAAAAGGTGGCTAACAGAGCTCCTAGCTGAACGATGCTCGTGATCTAACAAGATCTAACAAGAGGGAAAAGGACAAGTAAAGACATTTTACCAAAATAGCCTACCACTCATCTAAGCAGGGAACAAGGAACAGAGATAGGTGGAAAGACCAGAGTCTGAGGGTTTGCAAAAGAGTTGCTATCTAAGAAGAGGGCAGGTGGCAGGACCATGGAGTGACTGCAAACAGAGACTGGCATCCAACAGACTTGGATACACTTATTAGTTATTTCTTCTTTGGCAAGTTACTAATAGTACATTCTCTAAGCTTTAATCTTTTCTTTAACACCCAAGCTACAAGCTTATGGTTTTAAAGTGATTTCCTGTATGTATACTGTTTAGCATGGAGGCTCATAGAACTTAACTTAAAATTTTTAAAAAAACAAGAAATAAGAGAATATCATCTATACATAATAAGAAAATGGTTGGCTATAATAACAAAATAAAATATGTGCAGTCATTAAAACTCATATTAAGTCTCACCAAAAAATAAAAACTGTAGAGAGCCAAAATTAATATGGTAATATTTTTTAAAAATTGGTGATTCCAGGTAAAGGGCATGCAGGTGCTTTGTACTATTTTCACACTTCCTTGAAGAACGGACATTTGTCAAAATAATAAGTTGGTAAAAATTTAAATTATGTTTAAAATATTTTTATGCATTTGGATAATTTTTAAGATAACATGTTTAAAAAGAATGCTATTTTTACAATATGGTCTCAATTCTTTAGAAGGGAGAGAAATACAGTAAATATTATCTTCTGAATCATCAATCATCTCTCAATAAAGTTTAATAATTTTTCTATAAAGGTATTATATGCCTTCTGTTAAAGTGATACCAAGTTACTGACTGTCCCAGATGCTACTATAAATAGTATCCCCTCTTTAATTTGGTTTTCTAGTCTTAGTGCAGGTATAGAAATACTACTTATGAAACACTCCAGTTATTCCTAGTAATGTCTGTAGATTAAGATTTTCTCTATAAACAATACAATATACAAGTAATGATAGAATTGTTCCTTTTATTCCAAGTATTACCATCTCCAATTTCTTTTTTTTTTTTGTCATATTAAAAGTTTGAAAAGGGCTGGGGATTTAGCTCAGTGGTTCTGCTGCCTGCCTCGCAAGCTCAAGGACCCAAGTTCGATGGCTGGTACCAAAAAAAACAAAAAACAAAAAACAAAAGTTTAAAAAAATCGTTTAGAAGAACGTTTTAGCCCAGGAATACATTATGGTTGCCTAAGTACTAAATGGCTTTATAAATGCTTTATATTTAAATTTCACTTCTACTCAGCCAGTTTTGTATCTGTGCCATTGCATATTTTACCATGACCATAATTCCTTTTTACTTCTACAGAGACACCCAGCTCAGTCATACATACAATAGCTACTAAAGCAATCATAATAACCATTTGGTAAGATGAACAAACATATAAATGTGTTCTCTCCCCCAATTAACATGATGGGAAACACCTCCACTAGGTTCTAGAGGAAAATATACATAAAAGGATGCTCCATATAAAATTACTGCATTAAATGAAAAACCCTTAGTATCAGAACTTGATGTAGAATAATATCTGGCTTTAGTAAAATGCATCAGATTATGGGTGTATGAGGAGAGCTTCTTCCAGGTCCTTGGTATGGTATAGCCGACATCACTGCCTGGTACTAGCAGGCTATAAGTGGTGCATGCTTCTTGCTTTCCATAATTCGGCTATATTGTTTTATATTAGGAGTCAGACTGAAGCCTTAGGTGACTCACATGGGCATATGAGACAGCAGACTGAGCTACTACAGCTCCTCCCCCAGTGGCTGCCATGGAGACCTAAATCCTGGTCTGTGAAGCGGCAGGGCCCTGTTGAGTTAACATGCAGCTGAGGTCAGTTTGACCCCAATTAAAATCCTTTCCCTGAATTATGGCTTCTCTCTGATCTGATGGGTTGCTGTTTAATTGAGACCCAGTCTCAGTACCCTTTTTTTCTCTCCAAGCAAGATAAGCAGTACCTCCCTTTTTACAGCCCTGCTTACATAACTGCTATCACTAGATGCTTCACACCATATTACTTGATGTCTTCAAAGCACACCCTGCTCAACATCTTCCCATGCTTGTAATCAATAAATTCTGGATGTCCTTTGTGCCCTTTGTCTTTGCTGCTCAAAGCAGCTTAGATCAACCCCAAACCCAGTTTTCTCTCTAAGTCTCGTCTCTTTCTTTGTTCTTGTTAGCGTGCATTGTATTGCCTCATAGGAGGCCCAGAGGAGACCTCATAGGAGACCAAGATTCACGGCTAGGACTCTCAGTAATGTGCCCATTCCCTACAGTATGGAAAAGGTGCCACTGCTTGATTGGCCACAGACTTCTGTGGGTAAAATCTGGAATATTAAATGTGTGATCAGGCAACATGGCTTATGGTAAAAATGACTCTTGATTGTTTGACTGCACATGGACTGGGAGATACATTGGAACAACTCCTGCTAAAGATTAATCCTTGAGGCTGCCTTGGTGACAAGCCATGGCTTCTGTTCTCTGTCTCTGGAAAGACTACATTTACAGTGGTATCTAACAGTCTTCTGAGTCTAAAGGATCACCGGAATTTAAGAAAGCCCCTTGATCAATGTTCTTGTTTTCTGTTGTTGTGGACCAAATTAACACAAACTTGGCCATGTCAAGCAGTGCCCATTTATTATCCTGGTTCTGTAGGTCAGACATAACATGGCATAACATGGCTGGCTTTTCTGCTCAGTGTCCTGAGGATGAAACCACGGTGTTGGCATGGGCTATATTCTCACCATGATCTCACAGTCAGCTTCTGAGCTCATTGGTTGTTCAAAGAATTTGGCACTTCAGGATTGAAAAGCTGAGCTCTCTGGTTTTTGGCCATATATCAGCTGGAGACTGTTCTTAGATGTCAGGGCCAGTCCATAGATTCTCACCATGAGGCCCCCTCCATACTACAAAAGTTTGCTCCTCCAGGTCTAGTAAGAGAATTTATTCACCATTTTAAATCTTTCTGACTTCAAGTAAAGCTCAATCCTTTTTAAGGTCTCAGCTGATTAGATAACGCCCACATAGGCAATTTCTATTTGGTTAACATAAAGACAACTGATTGATAACCTAATTATAATAGTTATATTCCATCATATTCCATTTCATTAAATTCTGCTGCTCATGAGGAGGGGATTATGCAAGGTAGTGTCTATACCACAGGGTGGGGCTCCTGGGGTCAATTTTAGAATTCTGCCTGGAGCAGCGGGCATTAAGGCTTCTTTCCCTGGGCTCCCACCATTCCTGACTCTGAATATTTGCTAGAATAGTGGAAAGAAAAGATGAGGATGATCTTCCTTGTAGTACTAATTTGTTGATATTACACAATCAGAAGGATCTTTTAAAACATAAAGAGTCAATTAATCCTCTTTCTTTCCCTAGGGATACTTTGAAGTTTAAAGAAAAAAAGTGCCAGAGGGAAGAATTCTAAAGAGGATCTGCCACAAAGAAAGCAGCCTTTAGTCCCTGAAAGTTCCCTCCAGTAGGTAGTTCAGTCATACTATCTTGATCTTGACCATGTAAGTCCCAGTCTTTTGCAAGAGGTTAAGAGCTGAAGGAATCATGCTGTTCTATTAGAAATCAATGTTTTTCAGCAATGTGTTCTTCATAGAATTATTATTTGACCTTTAGGGTCAACTGTGCGGTTCCCTGTTTGGGGAAGAAGGCTGAAGCTTCTTAGAAAAACCCTACTGCCATATTTATACAGTAACCCTAGACTTACCCAGAACCAGCTGAATGACTGTATCTCCAAACGAATTTAACTGGATGACCATATCAGTCTTTCAAAGACTTTTGTGATTCCTTCTTTTTGATATATTTGACTAAAAACTTACATTCCACAGGTTATCATTTTAGTTGTATAAACTATAAAAAATGTAGTAAAAACATGTTTTGACTATGGTATCTACTAAATTAACAGTTATGATCACAGCTACATAAAGCTTATAATCTACCTTGGAAACCAAAAGAATACTTCCTCCTGCTGGGCATGGTGGCACACACCTATAATCCCAGCACTAGAGGCTGAAGCAGGAGGATCACTGTGAGTTCAAGGCCAGTGTGGGCTACATACACAGTGAGTTCAAAGCTACCCTAGGCTACATAGGGAAACCCTGTCTCAGAACCGCCCCCAAAAGGAATACTTCTCCAAAATTTCCAAAAGAAGTCAACAAGGCAAATCACATTTTCAGAGAACCCATCAGAATTCTATATTAACTCTATGACAGAGTAACAATGTAAGGTGAAAGTCATTTTTTAAAACTAAAAAATTCTGTAAAGAGTAAAGTCATAAATACAGTTGTTTATACATGATTTACTTCAGACCCTGTCTTATCATTGCCATGCTGCTTGGCTCTGGGCAGCAGAGCTGTGCCATTAGCATTTGTCACATGCTTTGACAGTATGGATGGGCATCCTATGAATGTATGCATATGCTCTGACATATACACACACAGAATTCACAAATGCATTTCAATATCTTTAGCTTCCCAAGAAGGGAAGCATAGTAGACAAATATTTAAATAAAAGCAATTAAAAATACAATCTCAGGTCATATCCATAGTGATAGACAATACAGACAGTTACAATGAGAAAAATCCCTGCTCCCAGCCAGCCCTGGTATTTTGACACCCAGAGTGGGAAGGGTTAAAGTGCCAATTTCAATACCCAGAAATACAGGTGTTTAAAATAGAAACTGAGCAATAAAAATGCAAAATTCCTACTATTTTTGCACATCTCTGTTTAGGAAACAATGCTCCTATCTACTCAAAACTTTGCTCAATATTTGAATGAAGAATTTAAGGAAATAACAAACTGACTGGGCCTGGGATTTAGCTCAGTGGTTTCACTGCCTGCTGAGCAGGGGCAAGGACCCGAGTTCGATCCCCAGTACCAAAAAAAAAAAGAAATAACAAACTGACTAAAGTTCTAAGGCTCAGTGATGAGTTTATAGAATAGTAAAACTACTGAATGAGCTATGTCTTCAAATCCAGGACTACATATATGCAAATACATGTATATTTAAATATGCCACACATAACAGTATACATTCAAAAGTTACTCAAATTTCTTGGTTCATTTGGAAATGAGATATTTTTGTATGCTTTTATTAAATACTATCTGATTTATGTGCTCCACAGTAACGGTGTGCACTACACCTGCACTGCCCAGTAGGGGCATCACTGCAATACTAAATATTTCAACACTTAAAACCCAGCTAGTACAACTGAAAAACTCAATTTTTAACTTCACTTCATTTAAACTGAAAAAGCTCCAGTGGCAGCCAGTGGCTGCTCTTGGAAGCACAGCGCCGAAGAACAACGGCTTTCATCTTGGCTTTGCCAATGGTCCCAACTTTCCTTCACAGCCTTGCTCCCAGGCTATCTCAGCATCGTGGGGCAGAAGTATTTGCCCTCTGCACTGTGTTTCAACAGATCTTTCTGCATTTCTTTATAACCACACTTATCCGCTGAACAGAAGCTATACACACGTCAGTCTCTCCTGGCAAATCACAATCAGGAAGGGTTTTATTCATCTCTATCCCCTCAGGTTCTGGCATGAGGAACCTTCATGGTCAGTTCTCATTCTGTTTTTGTGAAATGAACATAAAAAGGCTACCAGCCACAGATTAACCAGGAAGGTTCTAAATGAAAATGTAATGACTGTGGAGCACATCCTTTTGACTGCTGCTTGTTTTCTTACACTCACCAAAGCCATTTCAGCCTTATCAAAATCCTAGCTAAGTGGTACAGACAGTATTTCTGTTAAAGCAATTTCAAGGGCTTCTGATCACATGACCATATGGTTCCTGGTGATTTACAGCTGCAGCTTATCTGCTCAGTCACACTCAGACAAAGACAGCTGGTTATGAAGCACTAGGACAAACAGCCTCATCATAACGGAAACCTCAAAGTGACACAGAATGCAGCACACTTACCATCACCAACATCAAAGTCCTTGAAAGCTAGTTCGGAACCCGAGTCATCAAGCAGGATTTCGCCATTCAGTGTGAACATCATAGTGTGTTCATTCATGTCAACCATACAGCCCACAACATCACCTGCTTGCCAGGAGCGTCCATAGTGCTCATTGCCCTGGTGCCACCGCTGAGCCTACAGAGGATAGAAGAGTCCTTGTCAAAGAGTCAGCGAAGGGAACAGCACCCCCACTTCAACTGACAAAATTCTATTAACTCAGCACTAGGACGAACTCTAGTCAGTATATTACCAGCGTGCATCAATGACCTAAGCCATATAGAAACGATGGGAATTCTATCCTTGATATTAACATGGCATGTTACTAAATCTTGAGAAAACTCAAATGCCACACCATGTTTATTATTTTAAAAATCTAACCCTGCATGTTTTCAATCAAAAGAAAAATGATGCACCTTTATTATTCATTCATTTATTCATTTATTTTATCTTCTGCAATGACAACTTCCCTGCAAAAAGGTTGTTTTTCTGCACTCCCACAAATACAAAAAAATTAAAAGCTGGGAATCTATCATTGAAAATAACATTATAATTTTTATCTATTTCAAAATAAAATTTTATTTCTTAGAGCCCATGGGAATGTTACTTTAATAAAATGGAAATCTAAAAGCTTTTCAGTTACATACTAAAACCCAAAAAGTTTTCGGTCAAATCTAAAAATATTCTTAAGATATCTGTTATAATAGCAAACCAAAAATTGAATATAGATGCTACCCTTCTTTATATACATAAGAGAAATCTTATATTGCAAGTGCATTTGAAAGATAGCTTTGATAAACTTGTATGCTAGATCTGGAAGTATAGTTTAGTAGTTTATGTGTACAATATTATTTATATTAATAGTTTTGTCAGAGAAATCTTTTAAATTCTTGCTTAAGCATCACCTTCACTTTAGACTGATATGTAGGGGTATACAGTTATCAACACAAAACAAGGACATAACTCTTCTTAAAATAACACTGTATTTTAAAAGAACCTAACAAAATAAATTACCAAAAGGCATTAAAATTCAGAACCTACTTACTCTCCTTTATGCCCCACCTAATGTCTGTCCCCAAATCGAGGACCCTTCCTTGTCTGTGGTTTGACTGGGAGTAAAGGATACCTTAACTTGCTACAAGGAGCTCTTCCTCTGGTTCCTTACATTTGATCTTCAGCAAGAATAAGGCTAAAGCTGCCTTTTATTCGATTCTTTTTTCAAAATTTAAATAAACTTTGCTAATTTTGACTCCCCCCTAAAAAATGTCAAATTATTTTCCTTCTGAAATAAAAAACAAGGTGGAGGAAATTAGATGTTTCAGAAAAAAGTGGGCCAAATGTCCTAATTTCTAGCTGAAATGCTTTCCCACACAGGACATCACACAACTGAAATACTCAAGTGTCAATTTCTGCTTATTTCTTCTAATGTTCTTTACTATTAATATAGCTTTCCCCCTTCATATGAAAAGGAATACAAATTCAATAAAGGAACTCAGACAATAAAACAATACAAAAATCTATAATTTTGTCAAATTAAAGTGACTATCCTATTGTGATTATGAGCATGTATACATTAATTTTTAAATTTTTAAAACATTTTACATATCTAAGATAATCTTTAAACATTTATTTAGTATATAATGAAATAAGCACCTGATCAGCTCCCACTTAGTTTAAGAAATATAAATTACTAATAGTGTAGAAAATGAAAACTGAGTCTAAGTAACATCACCTTCAGCATTCTTAGTGATTATCACTTAATTTAAGTTTACTTTTTAAATGATACATACATATATAAATGGTATATATTTATAGGGTGCCATGTGACATTTCAAGACATGGATACAGCATATAACAGTTAAGTTAGTCTGAACATCTCTATTTCCTCAAATCATTATTTCTCTACCTTGAAAATATTCTGAACCCTATCATTCTCTAACCCCACCCCACTCTGCAATAGCTTACCAGTGCCAGAGCTTCTTGCTCCTGTGACTGTAACTTAGTACTGTTTGGTCAGCCTTTCCCCTCTGGAAACCATCATTCTACTCTGGACTTCTGTGTGATTAGTATTCTTGTGGCTACTAACTGCTTATGCGTAACATCAGTTATTATTTGAGACCAAGCCTTGTATGGAATCACTGTGTTGATTTATATGCATTTTTCATAACAGGTATGATAATATATGGAGAATGTTCAGATTTAAAATTATTAATTACAGAAAAAGACACATTGCCAATAATATCCTCTCCTCTCCTCAAAAAAACAATACTCCCTCTCTCTTCAAACACACGTATCCCATGGTTCTTCCTGAAGCAGTTCTGGAAGTCCTCTTTCATCGTATCTTTATGAAGCATGATCAAAAGTACAGTGAATGCTGCTGCTGAGTGTCATCCAACAGAAAGACAAGTTTGTAAAAACATTATAGTGAGTCCTCATCCACCTTATTCATCAGATCTGGCACTCTGTGACTTCCCCAAAATCAAAATGACCACAAAACATAAATGTTTTGAAGCAGCTCAGGACATCAAGGCAGCCAGGACAATGCAATGAAAGACACTCAGGAAAGAGGATAACCAGATCTGCTTCAGAAAGTGCCAAGAACAAAGGGATAAGTGTGTTCAAAGTGAGAGCGAGTGTTCTAAGGGGGATTAATGGGTCTGTGTATTTTATTTAAATAATTAGTAATTTAAATATTCACTGTATATTTTGATCACACCTCATATATGCAGGTTTAACACTTTTGATAAAAAAAGACTCATCATTTTAGTGGTGTCTGGGTGAATTTCACCATATCTGTCGGATGGGGGCAGAGTTCGAGGACTACCAGGACGAAAGTGCCCCTAGGCATTCTGTATCTCTAAGGCCATGCTGTTGATGGACAGTGCTGACCTCATGGTCCCCTAATAGTATAGCAGGGGACAGGCAAGGGCAGCCTGGAGAGGCTGTTCCTCCCCAAGGCCACTCACTCACCTTAAAGCCATCAAAAGCAAATGCACGCTCATCTGAGCCCAGCTCCTGATCGGGCTGGCAGCCTGGCCTGCTCCAGCCGACCCGCATGTCCCCTGCAGTGACAGCCTCGAACTCAAAGTACCACCGTCCTGTCTTCACTGCATATGTCTTCTCAGCACGGAAGATGCGGAACCTCTCACCAGTGCCACTGCACACTTCTGCTCTGGCTGCTGTGGGGTTGAGAAGAAAATTTAGAGAGAAGGGAGGATTCAGAAGATGATTAAACTGCAATGTCACCCAATCTGCTCTTGTTTCACTTCTAAGTGCCTTCTTACCTACCCATCCAGGCAAGTGGAATTTCTGCATGCACACAGTAGAAAGTCCAGGATTTCCCGGGACTAGGCTAGGCTGGGACTTGGGGACACTGACCAACCTGGCAAGCAGCCTTCAACTCATTCAGATACTTTTTGGGAGGGACCTATCTTTCTGAGGAAGAAATCCCACCAGCTACTTCGTTGGTTTGGTAATGGAAGATCAGATGAACTTGAGACTGGAAAGGAGATGCTTAGAGAGCTAAAGTGCTCTGCTAGGAAATGAACAAGAATTTATGGGTGAGAAAGAGAGGAAAGAAGCAGCCAAGAACTAAAGACAAGGGGAGAGAGATAAGAAAGAAGCAAAGATGCAACTACAGGCAATAATATTTGATGACAAGTTTCCACCACAGAACAGCTGAAGGATTCATTGCTGTGATTCAAAACTTTTCCATTCTCCCACATTTTCAATGTAATGTACTACATATAAAAATGTAGCAAAGAGATCAGAGGAAAAAAATAAAGGGTTAGAGTCCAACATCAGAGCCAGTGTGGTGCAATGGGATACATTGCTGTATGGCACACATATCTCTCTCTGTGGATATCTACATGTATTCATAGCTATATACAGATATATAATGTATATATCAGCAGGAAATGAGATGCCAGAGAGACTGAGAGGGTCAGGAGGGTGAAACCTGACTGAGGACCCTGAAGCCAGGGGACAGGGATGAGAATCCACTGAATTGATAATGCAGGCAATGAACAGGCCACCTCCATTAATATCTGGGTTAAATCCAGAGGAGGGAACTCCAGAGAAATGACCAACATCACACAACCCATAAGCGGCAGACCCAAGGAGCCACCTAATGCTATGGCCCTATTCTTTCCATACTGCCTCTTGTAGCTGGCATGGAATTAGGTACTGGCTACTCATCTGTTTCCCTTTAGAGATCTGGGAAAGAACTTATAAACAATAAAAGTTTAATAACAGTTTATCCATTGAGTTATTATGACCAAATTATAACTGGAAAATGGTTCTCAATGCTATAATATTAAAAAATAATTAGAAAAATCAAATTTCCATCCAGAATTTACTTTTTCTTAGGCAACAGCCTACTAATTCTTTATTTTCTTAAATTACAGTGGTAACCTTCACAAATTTATCTACGAGATACAGAATATGAGCTATGAACCACACAAACTTTTAGAGATTATTTTCAGGAGAGAAGAGTTTTCGTGCAGATGTACTTATGTTTATTTATGCTGATTATTTGAAAATAAAATTCTTAGATTATATTCAGCAACAGAGTCATCTCCTAAATTTCTAAGTAGGTATTACTCAGTTTTTATCTTTATAAAACTAAAATACTGCAAAGTGCCAGGTTTGTTTTCCTGTTATGTTCCCAAGACATCAGATTTTGCAAATATGCCGTGTGCTCAAGTAATACAAACATAATAATTTAGCACACTTTAATAGTAACTTTAATCAAATATTTTAGAAGGTGAATTTGATCTAACATTATAACAGATAAGTTTCCTCCGAAGCACACTACAAATCTCTTGGTATCAAGAAAGATCACTAATGCCTTCCACTAACACAGGGAATGAAAACCAAGGACCATACGGAGAACGTGCAATAATAATAATGAGGAACTCCTTAGTCTCAGCATTCTTCTTCCTGATCCTGCGCTGGAGTACCATTCTTACACTGTGATGCTACTCACCCCGAACTTGCACGAACATGCTACTCATAATGCACCATCATGCAAGGACATCAGAGTAATATACTTTTGTTCTTTTTTAACTTCTATGCATCTTTTTGCATATGCCCATGTAGATCACAGTTCATATTCTGTATTTCTTAAACTACTGTAAGGTAGCTTATATCCATGGTTTGAAGAAGCAGAAGTTTAGAATTCTGATTCTACTTTACAGAAAATACTAGCGCAAAATGAAAATCTGGGTCCACAGAAATGTTTTAAAAGACCCAAACAATCTGAGATATATACATAGTATATACTTGTATCTATTGAAACGTTTACATAAAATTATGATATATATTTATGTATCATAAAAATTGCATGTATCATATATAAATTTATATATTATATATTTGTATAGTAAATTTATACTGTATAAACAGTGCTTTTATGTATATATATACATCTTCCACTAGAGGGCAGTCAATATCTGCTTATATACAGTATTAAAATCAGTTACAGGCTACAAGGATGGTAGGCTAGTCTCTAAAACTTTATACATATCTAGAAATCCTTTCAACTTCCTGGTATTATTTTAAATAATGCAATTCATACCTTGATAAAACCTTGTGATTAATAAGAATAAATTCCATTTCCAAATGTTTTACTGTTTATTGAAAATAATATTTCAAAGATATTAAAATTCAAATACTGATTTAACATTTAATCTGGAATAGATAAACATTCTGCTTAAAAAGAGTAAATAAATTATAGCCCTATTTAATAAGGCTAGATTCAATTATATCAAAATGTCTATATTTCTAACATTAAAATTTCACCAATATTAGAACAATTACAAATGAATACTTTTAACTGATCACCAAATTCATTTCATTTTATACCATTAAATCTTTTGTATCTTCTAATTTCCATTTCCATAGCCCTTGTTCAGAAAAATTCCAATTTTTCCCAAGCTTTCTGACTGGTCTCTTTGTCTGCTGTCTGTCCCACTCTAATCTGTCCCTTCCCACTGTTACCATAGTTATATTGCTATGGTAAACTGAGCTCAAACATCCAGCGACTATTGTAAAAGTTCCCGGGGCTGGAACTCCCTCTACAAATTTATCTACATTTCATAGAGTTTATTTTTCAAGCTATTCCATATTTTGTTCTCAATCGTGCCACCTTCATCCACTGCTACTTTTTCCCCACCTATACCTTACATTTAGCCTCAATAGAACATCTCCCATTCCTTTTTCTATACTTCATCACATAAGAGAGTCTTTCCTTAAAGTGCTAGTGTAGCAATGTCCTTTCTGACACTAATCTCTACTTCTTGAAGCTCGGTTCCCTTTAATATCCCACTCAGAAGATTACTAATTCCTCTCTGTGGAGAATTAATCTTTCTTCTGCAATTAACAGGGAGAACAAATGAATCTCTATGAGGTAAGCATCCTGTTGGAGCCTACAGCACAATGGTGAATGAGAAACATGATTCATTTTCTACTGTGCAGTACACAACACTTAACCTCATTGATTATTTCTCACGTAACTTCAGAGAAGTAGAATTCTGTCAACTGTCAATGGTTCTACCTCTAAATTCTGAAAATGCAGAGGCTATGTGAGTTATCTGATCACAAATTTCCTCTCAGTTTTCTTATTTCCTTATACAAACACAATCACTCTGAAAACTCATTAAGTTCCATCTTTTCTTCCTTACCTATAGTGTTCCACACTTTATGGCCCTATGACCCTTCTCTCTACTTGCTCTGTCAACCCCGATTCTTGTCCAATTTCACTATCTTCATTCTCGACTTCTATCCCTGCTCTGCTGAGTCTCCTGGAAAACACATGTACAGAATAGATTGGTACCACTACTAATTTGCTTTCTTCATGGATCATTTATGTTTCTCTACACTCTCTAACCTGTTGCCTGCTCTCTGTTTCACTTCACAAAGCAGCTAGCTATTCTCACCTTTGTTGATGACCGGCATCAGCAAAAGCAGCAGAGTAAGGACCTCTACAAACCCTCTTCCCTGTAAAATCAGTGGGATACCCTGGCAACATTCATCCCATCAACCTTTCCAGAGTCCTCAAAAGTAGCTAAAGTATTTATTCAATGAAAATGACCCAGTGTTTCAACAATAAGTCTTATGGTATTTTAACACACCCCATTCTCTCTTCCTTTCTCTAGCTCCATGATACACAGAAAACAACTGGCTCCTCAAGCTCAGTGAAGCCAGAACCTAAGAGCCTCTGGAGTGGCCAGCACAGGGTTGGAGCTCTTCCAATAGTCAACTGTGATTTTACTTTGCTGGTGCTTCCTTGGAAAATCCTACTTGTGAAATTATTCTGTATTCCACCTGACTTAGACATTGCCCAATGCAAACAGACTTCTCCATAGGGATATTTAGTTGAAAAATATCACAGGCAATGTTTTTTAACACGGTAACTCCTGAAGATAATAATAATAATAGTTAAGATAAACAACAGCTGAGCAAATATTTTAAAAGAAACTCTGGGGAAGGACATGCACAGCAGGCTATGAAAAACACCAGCATATTTATAAGGTCATAGTCAGGCCTTTGCTGTACATGTATTTAGGAAAGACCTGACAAGGTCTTCAGTCCTCAACTCTGGAAGACCATGAGGTCCTGCAGTCAGTGAAGGCTAGGTCAAAGTTGTAAGTGTGAGAGCCATGTACTTACAGGCAGATGGGGCCTCTACCTCAGCAAAAGACAAGGAGAATTCTTATTCTCAGGCATTTAAGAAAGTCTCTGTCTCATCACTGGCTGACTCCTAAGTTAGTGAAATAGATACTTCAACTTCAGCAGCCACATGTTATAAACAATATAAATGCCAAAAAGCTAGTTTAGAAAAATCATTAAACAACAAGCACAACTTATTTAAAATTTCAGTTTTCAATAAAAAATTATGAGACATGCAGAGAAACAAGAAAGTATGTCTCATGCACAGGGGGAATGGTGGGAACAGTCAAGAGAAATTACCCCAGAGGAAGCTCAGGTGTTGGATTTAGACAAAGATATTAAGTTATTTTAAATACAATCAAAGAACTAAAGGGAAACATGTGGAATAACTTTTTTAAAAAGCATGAGAATGATGCCTTATCAAATAGAGATATTCAATAAAGAAACAGAAATTATATTAAAAAAGAACCAAATAGAACTCTAGAGTTGAAAAGTACAATCACTGAAA